TAGTCGTTCGTCCCCGTGTCGGACTCTCTCCTGGCCGGTCACTCGGTGTGGTTACTGGTGTCGTCGGGCTGAAGAGCTGACTGCCGACAGCGTAAGGAAAAAAAAAGTGGCGAGTTGTTGAAAAAGGGTCGTTGCTGGATTAGGGGAAGCAATGGAAGCTGAGGTGCGAGGTTGGAGTTGCTCAAGGCGGCGCTGTGGGATGTGATTGGGGGACACAGAATTGGCGTAAAGGGCCGCTATTGGGTCATTGCGACGTAGAAGTAGGGCGCATAGACGACGCTGGGGACTTCAGTGGACGGATGATGGAGTAGGACGGGTCAGGCGAAGCTGGAGTTCGACGGGGTTTGGATGGTGAGGTGGTCCAAAAGCCTTAGGTTCTGCCGTCCACCGTACCGCTGCACCTGCACTGCGCTTCGCTTCGCATGCGCAGACCTCTTTGCAGTAGCTGACTTGTGGTCTGGCCCGAGAAGCTACCTAATGAGAAGCAGACCTTGAGGGTTAGTTTGGTGGTTTGGTCAATGTGAGGTGGATTGGGCAGTCATGGGTTGGTGGTAAGTTGCTGACGGGTGTTTGATGTGGTTGTAAGGGGGAGAAGTCCGTACCCTGGAAGCCGAAAGTCTACTGTCCAATCCTATTGACGTTGAACTGTCGTCGTCGGTCGAGCAAATATGCAATACGAGGCAACGAGAGACCTGTCTTGGTGATGTTCCTTCCTGAGGTAGAGTCGGAGCAGTGTACGATCCGCAGGGATGAATAACAAGAAAAAAAGAGAAGAAGCAAAGGTGAGAAGGTGCACGGAACTAGAAGGTGGCAGGAAGGGGTCGCAAGCTCGGGGTTTCGAGTTGGGACGGAAGGAAGGGGCCGCCCAGATGGTGGTGGACTGGTGGTCGAGGTGCAACTTGATGGGATGACTGAGGTGAAGGCCACAGCAGGCGGTGACGGGCTGGAGCTGAAGCCGTGAGACCTGTGTCCTAGGAGACCTGACAATAAGGTGAGGTCAAGTAGTTGGAAGGAATGGAAGAGAGCCCAAATAAGGAAGGGGGCTTGCTGATACGGGGACCGTGTGACGAAAGAGAAGCTGACGATGCGCAACGCCCAATGCAAGGGACGGCAGCGTCCGTGAACCCGTTCCTGTTCCTGTTGGTTGATGTCGCCGTGGGCTTTCTGTGCCCGATACAAGGTGCGGCACCTTGGAGATGATGATCAAATCAAGGCTCAGAGCCCGTGTAGTTGCGTAGTCTGTAGATACTCGTTGGATCCGGCCGGGCGAGATGCAATCTAGGACGGGACCCGGTGCTGCTGCTCTCTCTGCGCCGAGGACAGATACAGAAGCAATGGATGATGGCAACGATGCAAGGTACGGATACTTCCAATCTAAAGGTCAATCAGGAGCGAAGAGCTTGGTTACAATAGTTTTGCATCCGTAGGTAAGGTAGGTATTAGATAAGGCTGGGGGAATTGCCCGATGTCTTTGCTTGATGAGGCGCAGTTTAAAAGGGACGGGTAATCGAGGATAAAGAACTGCTTCTTGGTCTATAACGAAACACACAAAGACCGGGAAGAGGCGTCTTGAGGCTAAAGTTTGTGGAGGCACAGAAGACCTCACAGTTTCTCCCGGTTGATCCCTTCAAAGTGCAGTGAGTGCCTTCCCACGCGCTTCCTTGAAAAGCTGCTACCTTAAGAAGGTCAAGTGCGAATAAACCTGACGGGAGGCAAAAGATGCCGCTGAAGTCTGAACGGTGCGAATGATCAATCTGGAAGGCAAAGAATTGGAATGGGAAGGCAGGCCTAGGCCGGGGGTTCCTTCCCTCCTTCCCACCTATCCGCAGCCACAGCGGCATATCTCACCTCGATCCGACCACCTCAACCAGACGGGACCTGCCAGATCTATCCCAGTTGGGCAAGTCCCTTAGAAGACGCGATATTGGAACTTGCGATGCAGATGAGCACGCATCATACACACATTACAATCTCCATTACCTTCCAGACCCATGGGAAGCGCGGATAGAGTTCACTGCTGCGAGGAGCAGATGGCGAATGAAGTCACCGGCACGAAGAACACGTTGTCCACGGTCTGACACCATCCCGAATTCCTGTCTCGGCCACATCATCAGTAAATACTACGAGATTCCAACAACGGAAATAGGACGAGTTTTGTTGTGTTTCGGCTTCCGGCTGATTTGGCTTCCTTTCATTTTCGTCACCTCTCTCATACCACCACAGCCCACAATTCCTCATCGACACCATTGCGATGCGCAAAGACAGCCCAGAACGAACAACCGTGATACTGATACCACCTACCAGTAAAGCCCGTCGCCGTGCCATGCTGACGAGTCCCCCGTTTCTCCCGTCGCTAGGACATGCTTGGCTCCAAGCTCACCCATTGCGCAGCCAACCGAACGGACAGTCATGGCCGTGATCACGCATGCCTATCCTTAGGTACCCACTCCGAAGGAACAGCACATCGGCGGTCCGTCCGGTGCCCGTCACTAAGTTTCGCCATTTCGCCATGCGCCAAAAGACCAGACTTTACACGCGCCACGAGGCCCGGAGCAACCAGGGCATTCCCGTTCCCCATTTCCTCGTGGACACCAGCAAAGACGATTGGGAGTGGGAGGGGACCGGCAGGGGCATCTTGCAGCGTGTGTGCAGCGGCTGGTTCCCCCCGGCACAGCAAGGATGGCCCGGAGCCGCGAGCAGATAGCTGACCCCAGACACGCCAATCAGATTGGTGGTGCATGTCGGTTGTGGTGAGAGTGGCAAGGTGATGCCCGCTCCGCCAATGCAGTTAATCTGCTTGCTTTTTGTCATCCGGGCGCGTCCATCTCGAATCACGGCCAACTGGCGAAATTGACAAGCCAGGGCAAGCCGGGGCGGCATGGAAACTCAGGTGCCGACCATTTCCCATCTGGGCATGTCCCGTCTCTTTTCTACCCATACTGGGAGAAATTGGAGAATCAGAGTTCAGGAAAACAGGATGAAAGATTCTGCATTACATAATCTATCTACATGACATTGACAGGCCTACACTTTCAGTCCCCCAGAATAAGCAATTCGATAATCGAAGCTAGCGAGATGGACCATCGGAAATGTTTCCACAAGTTGACAAGTACACATGGGATGCGGCCCCGACTTGACCGCTATCAGATACCTAGTACATGGCGACGACACTTCTTCAGATGTACTATTCATCCTGACGCTGGCCTTTATGTTTATTCTGGCCCGACGCTGGCTTTTCTTTTGAACTCGATATGGGTTTGACCTGCATTTGAGTATGATAGCCTGGATATAATCCAGGGTAGTAAGTACATTCTGCCGGCGTCGGCATCCCGCCATGACACAACCTTCACAGAGGTTACTGGGCATGTCGAGGCCCTCAGACAGAGGAGGGAATGATTACGGCGTCACTTATAGGCACCAGTCATAAGCCCCAGAACCCTCGACAGCTATGTCATCTAGCTGACGAGGCTGGTTAAACAGAGTATGTCTTCTGGAAAAGAGGAAGAAGCAAGAGCGACAAAACAGACAAAGAACTACCGCTTCTTGTCCTACCCATCACCCCTGAGCCACTGTCAACGGCGAGAGACAAGACATCAACGATGTGGAAGCAAGGTGTGTGCGCCATGAGGTTCGGCGTCAAGTTGCATGCCTCTGAGTGTGTGGAGGGAGCTTTGCCAGAGTGCAAACAGAGACATATATATATAGCCGTACACCTTTCAAGCACAGGCGGCCTATTCGCACATGTATGTAAACTTACTATATATAATTAACACTCGATGCAGACTTTGTTGAACCTTGAAAGAAGGCTTGGAAGCCATTGTAGGGTTACACTTTGGCAACCAACCTGAATTCATTATTCAAGAAGGCAAGCTGACTCTGCCGCCGGATCCATCTTCTGCTGGTTTCTATGCCTTCAACAGGCCTTCCATCTACACCCCAACTCCCATCTGCAAGTCCTGCGTTTAGCAAACATTCAAACTTTGGTGTTTGTTTGGAAACCACGCTGAAAATAGCAGAGTGTAGGCTTCCATTCGTTGCCTTACTCCCTATTAGTTTGATGGAGTCAGTCTGCAGTATATGCGCACACGCTATTCAATATGCAGTCTCACAGGTTCGTGACATCTACGGCACGCAGTACGGATACGAGACGGGACACTATTCTCAAGGTGCGCGACGAACACCTATGACGACTGCTGCTTCGATCGTGACTCCACTCAATACTTGCCATCGGTGCCATCCAGGCCATAGCAAGTCGAACTAGAGCTAGACAGGTATCGCTTCAGAGCAAAACTAAGCGGTATTTGGACTAAGTCATCCCCACTCCACCAATTGTCCAGACCACCCCGGTCACTAACATCTCAGCTCCGGCCTTAGCCTGGCAACTGGCAAACACCTCCCCAGTCGTCCCACCCCAAAGCCCCAAAATGTTCCAGCGTGCTCTTCCATTTGCTCCAATCTTCCAGCTTCCATTAGCCTACCTTAGGTATTCATAAGAATTCTGTTCGTTATCCCCAGTCTTTGGTGCACGTCCCCTGGCACAACCGACTTTCTCTCTTTTGGCCCAACCCGGAACTTCACCACCATCGCCGAAGTTTTTCCTGTCCCGAACGTCGGATCGTCACTTTAGTTGAGGAAAGAGTAACCCGACTGAAGTAGATCTGTTTTACATTGCTAGCACTTCGTACACCCTCGACTTTCACCGATACCCTGCCCAGCATCGCGTCGCTGCCCACGATCACCATTCAACGAAGGCCTCAGCCGCATACCAGAGAAATCATCAGTACGCTACGCCGGACGCCGGCGACACGTTCGAGCTCGTTGGTTTGCTACACACCTGCCTTACCTTTGACTTCGGATTGCGACCAAGTCGCCCGTTGCGGAACCTCGCCCTACGAGTTACCTATCTGAAGCGCGCCTTCCTGAGACCTGCACCGGCGCCTGCCGTTCTGTTGAACATCGCTACCCACCGAATCGAGACAAAGCCTCAAAGTGCAAGAGGAGGCAAGAGGGGTCGAACCGCACTTTCCCTCCTTGCTCACCCACCGTCCTGCGACTGCCTCCACCTTCAAATTGAGACGGTCGTTACTTCCCCTATCGACACAGAATCTGCCTCCGACTTCGACTCTGACTCTTTCTCGGCTGGTGACCTGTCACTTCAGAGCTAGCTGAGACCTCGGCCTCATGGTACGCCCACGACTTTCACTTTTCCTTCTCTTGACAAACCACAGCCTCGTTAATCAAAATGGCCGAGTCCAGTCTCGCTCAAGGTCCCTCTTCGCTCCCGCCGCGCTGTCGCCGCAAACACCGTAAACGATCAACCAAAAGCAGAATGCCACCTCACGGGGCCCAGCAAGATGTGGTCGGGGGCCCCCTCTCAGGAGCGCAGGTCGCCCGCTCGAATGAGACTGTCAACTTCTTGCTAGGAAATCGACGTCCAGCATGGATGACTTCGCAAAACGTAGTACCATCATCCCACGGCCCTCTTACGAATAAGGGACCGACGTCGAGAAATCGGCAGGACGTTCAAGGTCCTCAGATGGCCCCAACGAGAGCATCTCAAAAACAGCCTTCGACACACGCTTCAAACACACCTTCTGCGCCAGGAGCCGTCACGACGTCTACTTTCCGATCGGCCGACAACTTACAAGACAAGCCTGCGGCTGCGCCTGCGCCTGAATCTAATCAACTCACAACGTACTTCCCCTACCCTATTTCATCTTCTGGAATCCCGCAGTCCTTTCCCTCGCCCAAAACGCCACAGCCGTCTCTAACGTTTTCCTCCGGCAGTGATTGCGCAGCCGCTCTTCCATCTCCGGCTCCGACTGACCAACCTAGTCCACCCACAGTCACATCGAACCAAACCTCGCGTCAGTTTCGGGATAGTTTCTTTCAAAGTCCAGAGCTGGGGCTCGATCTCGCAGCCAACACCTCAAACGTAACGACGGCTTCAACAGGGGACACCCGCGCCCAGGAAATACCAGCCGATGTCCCGGTGCAAGATCTCTCAGGGGCTGGCTCTGGAACGGCAGCCATAGATCCGAGCAACCCGGTTCCTCTACCAACAGATTTTCATTCCTCCGCAAGGTTCTCCCTCTTCGAACCCAGCGAGCACCCAGGGCTCTTCCACTCTTCAGATGCGCTCCTTGAAAGACCGCCAAGCTCAGTGCCACCCTCTCTTGTCCTCAACTCTCAAGCCGCGCCTAGCCCTACGCCCAAGTTACCATCTCGACCGCCATCTCGACCGCCATCTCGACCGTCGTCCGGCCAGAAATCAAGACCGACAGCAGCTCTACAGCCGCTTGCTACTGGTCACCACACGCCACAGTCTGCCGGCCAAAGCAAAGATGACTATCACCGTACCGGACAGCCCACAGGAAGTAGTCAGGATCCGTCAGACAGCTTCCGTCAAGTAGTCATGGCCAACCATCTCGACAGCTACGTGTCTAATCGCGGCGGCATGGCCAAACTCCCAGAAGACGGCACCACTGCACCTAGAGTACGACTTCTCAAAGACGCCATTGAGAAGGCTGATTACTTCTACATAGTGCTTCACCAAATCCTTTGTTTATGGACGCTTGACACAAAAGGCGCATATGACCTCCTTGGTCTTCCTCCTAACGTGACGGAGAGCGCACTCAGCATTGTGCAGAATGTCCTTCGGAAGAACATAAACATGAGCCAGGAGACAGTTCTCTTCTTCGCAAACTTTCCAGCTAGTAGCGCTTCTGGGCTATGGGCTACTGATGCCTACCGCAAGCACATCGGGGAAATCTCCGGGTTCCTAAATAACCTCCACGAGCAGTGGAACAGAATTTTAATTCCTGCCATGAGACCTCACTCAGGTAGAGGTTATCCTATCTTGGCAGACGAATTGCGCTATCAACTCAAACTTCGGTCTCCGATTCTAGAGACTATTTTCTTCACTGTCACTAGGAGACATACTGGTGTCCAAGACGGCCCCATCGCCGATCAGATGACTGTGCTATTCCGACAAGATTCTCAGAAAGACCAAACACAGATGTCCGAAGAGGAGCAAAGGGTGTTCCAGCACTCGCTGATCTCGCGATACAAGATCTTGGTCAGTCAGAGTCAGCAGCAGCAACAGCAGGAGCAGCACCAACAGCAGGAGCAGCACCAACAGCAGGAGCAGCACCAACAGCAGGAGCAGCACCAACATCAACAGTTGCAGCTGCAACAGCAAGTTTATCCACAGCAAGTGCCGCAGGACTACGCCAGAGCATCCGCCATGGCACGACAGAAAAATGCGATTGGCAATTTTAGAAGGATGTCTACGAACTTTTCCCCAACCCAGGCTAGAGTGCCAACACCGACACACAATTCTCCAACTCAAGGATTTGACATGTTTCCGTCCCCAACGGCTGAAAGTCTGGCCAGGATGCCAAATACCTTCAACCAACCCATCGGACCAGTGCCATCACAGTTGAGGCTGCTCAGTCAATCCCACGCGAACCAGCCCCTGACCCCAACAGGCTCGCCTCACTACCCCAGCATGCAATTGCCGCATGCTGGAATGATGGCACAGGCTCCAGGGCAGACATCTCCAGTTCTTCGAGCACCTCCAGGGGGGCTATCAATGTCCATGCCAACCCTGACATCGCCTACGCAGGCCGTCGCCCCCAGTCCTCCACGATATCAGGTTCAACCCCATGGTCAAGGTTATCAACTTCTCCAGCAAGCCCGCGAAGCGGATCAAAGGCATCTTAGGTCCCGGCAAATGGAAATTGCCCAAAACCAAGCCCAGGCTATTGCGCAACTGCAAGCCACGAGCGTGAGCTCCCCGAGGCCGCAACCACTTCCTTCTCTGCGGCCCCAAGTAATGCAGCCCCAAGTAATGCAGCAAGGGCCGTCTCCTGGAGCATTTGTGCGGACACCGCCAACGCAGCAGTTGCCTTCTCCTCAAATTGTTGCACCTACTTCGCATGCGAGCCCAAGAGGTTTGGGAATCACGCAGGGAGCTCCGGGTACGCAAATAACAAGGCCTCCTTCAACTGGCTCGAGGCCCACTCGTGACGCAGCAGGACGGCTCATAGGCAACCTGTTCCGACCACCCAACGTATCGATACCGCTAGATCGTATACCTCATACACCATGGGAACCAAAGGCTGTGGGAGTCGCACTTCACCAAGTCCAACTTCGGAGTCCAAGACGAGTGCCGCGAGACTTACCCTGGTCGGAAGACCAATCGACGCCCATTAGGTTCTACCAAGCCATCAAAGAGCTTTCTCTAGGCCCTGTCGCAACACCGGCCAAGCACTGCGTGCACCGCCTTGTCTTTGTGGTGCCCGCCGAGTACTACAGCAAGCTCTGCCCAACGAGCAATTTGATAGGCGACGGTGTGCCAGTCTCGATGTACTTTGAAGGGTCTCTACGATACCGTCTTCGTCTCTGCGAATTGCCACTCAGCCCGGACGAACCGGCAAACATCTCAGAATCTGTCTGGGCAGTAGCACAGTCTTACTGGCCTGAACATATCGCCATCAGGGTCAATGACAAGGTCGTTGCGGTACGCCGAAAGCAGCATAACGGACAGCACCTGCCTGCAGAACTCACTCCATATATACGCCCGGGCACGAATTCGATAGCTGTCACCATCACTCCCACGCCCGCGACTCAAAAGCCAAATACGATGTACTTTATGGCTGTCGAGGTGGTTGAGACGCTGAGCCGCGACAACATTGTCAATATGGTTTTGAGCCAAGGCATAATCTCGGCGGATACGACAAAGCAAGTTATCCGGAGCCGTCTGGAACCTGCGTCTGCCGATGGGGACGATGAGTTAGTTGTGGTTGGCAACGATCTCAGCATTGATTTAGCCGACCCTTTCAGCGCCACGATATTCAAAATTCCAGCGCGCGGCGTTGGTTGCACGCACATGGAGTGCTTTGACCTAGCCAACTGGCTGCAAACCCGGCCGGTCAAGCCTAGGTGTACCGCGCACGGGGCGGGCGAGGCATGCCGCATCTGTAATCGCGGCACTGAAGGGAGACCTGAGCCTTCCTTGGTTGACAAGTGGAAGTGTCCTCTCTGCGACGGAGATGCTCGCCCGTATAGTCTTCGAGTTGACAGGTTCATGGAAGATGTCCGCGACAGCCTCGAGGCTGAGGGCAAACTTCATACGAAGACCATTTATGTTAGGGCTGACGGAACGTGGAAAGCCAAGGAAGAAGAGGCTGATGACGATGAGGAAGAGAATGCAGACAACGGCCAACCGCCAGCTAAACGGGCCAAGACATGGCCGTCGATACCAGAGCCAGAGATCATCGAGCTGGACTGATTGCGAGGAGGCCAGAGCTTCGGGCGATTGAGAAGGCACGTAGGAGATGGCCCTCCTTCCTGCTCTGGGAGAAATTGCTTTTTTATTTTACTTTGCGCAGGCATTGGGATGCCGGAATGATACCATCTGCAACATCTGGGCGTTTGGGGAAATCGCGATAGGGTGGGATACCCTGCATCAAGGCATCGAGATCCTACTCGCTTTATGAAGAGATTAGGAGAGACAACATGATCTTAGCCATCGACTTTAAGCGACAATGACGAAGAGTGCTGGGAGCAATAATTATGTAGCTTTCAAAGCATGTGTATGATTACACACAGCATTTTAGTACCAACCAACCTGTCATGTTATCGCCGTGAGACGAATCTACTCATATGAAAGATGTACCTTTGGCCTAACTCAAGACGTGTTCAGCTCAGCCATGAATGCACTTTTTCCAATCATCTCAAGTTGGACGAGGTTCAAGCTTTTGTCAGGGAGAAATCCAAAAGAGTGTGGTTCGCTTCTTTGAGTGGTGTCTATTTAATGTACGCCCACAGGTCGGCAATGTCGGCAAGGCGAGAACTAGAGTGTTCCTCAAGGCTCAAGGTAAGACGACTGGCAACAAGGGAGTGGCAGCGGTGGTGATTGGGTCAAACGCCCAATGACATCAACCCTGGGCTGCCAGAGCTTCAACCTGACACATGCGCGGTATCTGTACGGGTATCGACTCGCCTTGACTTTACGGGATAAAATTGACTTGCCGACCGTGAACTACCTTACCTTACTTTACTCATGCCTTCCTGGTGGGCGTTTTGCCATAGCTACCATCCCTTCCTTTCCATTGCTTTGGGAGACAGCTTGAGCTTTTGAGCTTGCGCCTCGGTCTCGGCTCCGCAGGCCAAGTCAAATCTCCAACTCTACGCAGTAGAAGTCAATCGTCACTAAGCTCCAACGACGAGGCTTGGAAGAGGGCTCAGCCACACGCGTCTACGTCGCCTCCTTGTCGACATCACGTTCTCGACTACGAATACCATCGAATTAATCATCGCCCATTGCCAGGAACGCCGAGACAGCGAGTTTTTTTTAGCCACTTCCGCATCCCGCGGCGACGCAGACGATACCGACGACGCCGACTGCGCCGACTGTACGTTCTGCCTCTTTCCACCTCTTCCGACGGAACTTCCATCTCAATTTCTCGAGGGCCTCTGATGAGCTGAAGCGAACCTTTCTCCTCACTCTATTTCTGCCATCGTTCTTGGCTACCTCACCATACTTCACCTCTACACCTACCTAACGCAAAGCATTGCGCGCAGCCAAGAGAAGAAAAAGACCAAGACCGGGAAAAAATACACACCACCCCACCTAGGTTGCTTGGACTAGATTGCCCCTCATTCCAATTCGGAGCTCGCACGGTGTAATACGTTCACTTAATTGAGGTCGAGGAGCTGTTCTGCGACGTCTGGTGCGCCTGTTTGTCTGTGCCTCATCCCATCTCCGACCGGCAAAACCACCATCGCAGAGAAAGGGTGGCAGCATATCACATCAAGCGCACTGGGTACCTGAACCACACACCACCAAACCGACGACGCCTCCCACACCACCCCCAAAAGGATATCCTCTTAAACAAGGAAAGCGTGTGGACTGAGCAAACACCAAAAACTTCACAACCATGTCGATCAGAATAGCGCTCGACAATGCGCCAGAGTTCTACACCAACCTAGATAACGTCAAGGGCCGCGTCGTGCTCCACCTGAGCCGGCCAGAGCAGATTGGTGGCATCGTCGTCAAGCTCGAGGGCGAGTCCAAGACGGCCCTCGGCCTGCCGCAGGAGAGCTACCACGAACGTAATACCCGGCCCGGAGGCGGGCCCGGGAGCATCGCGAGCGAGAACCACAAAATCCTCTACCGGGTCGCACAGGTTTTCCCGACGTACGAGGAGGAGCTCGGCGCCGGCGGCTCGAGTTTCTCCCAGAGCTACGTCATCCAGGGAGGCCAGCACGAGTTCCCCTTCAACTTCAAGCTGCCCATCAACAATGCCTGCAGCGATCCCGTCACCATGTCCAAGATTGGTGGCATCGGCGGCATGGGAGGCTTCGGCGCCGGCATCGGACCCTTTGGCCTCGGCGGCGCCCGGGTCATGGACGGGAGCAAGCAGCTCTTCCTCCAGCACGTCACCAAAACCTTGCCGCCGTCCTTCACCGGGTTCCCCCGGCAGGCCGAGGTGCGGTACTACCTCAAGGTCACCATCCAGCGCCCGGGCTTCTTGAAGGAGAACTGGCGGTACCAGATCGGCTTCAAGTTCATGCCCATCGAGCCGCCCCGGCCACCAAAGACCTCGCAGGAAGCCTTTGCCCGTCGCCCATTCACCTTCAAGCCGCGGCCCCGGGGCTTGCAAACGAAAAAGTCAACCATCTTTGGCGGCAGGGACAACGGCGCCGGGGACGGCAACGCGGTACCCCCGTCCATCGAGCTCTCCGCTCGTCTGCCATATCCACCAATCTTGACATGCAACCAGCCCTTACCGTTACGGCTCATCGCCAAGAAGCTCGTCCCGTCGCACGAGCAGGTATACCTCACCTCCATCCAGATCGAGCTCGTCGGCAAGACAAACGTACGATGCCACGACCTCTTCAACACAGAAGTCAGCAAATGGGTCGTCGTCACACAATCCGGTCTCAGCGTCCCCCTCCTAACAGACCCAACCTCAGAAGACCTGAACCTCGAGAACGTCATCCCAGACGAACTGTGGCGCACCATCCCCTTACCCAACACCGTCGCGCCCTCCTTTGTGGCGTGCAACCTCCAGCGCTTCTACGAGCTCGACATCCAGCTGGGCTTGTGCTGGGGTAAACCGCCCACGCGGGGCGGGTTCCTCAACGCGACAAAGGAAACCCCCGCGGCGCAGACGATATACCTCCCGCTGCACTTCTCCAAGATCCAAATCTACTCGGGCATCGCGCCGCCGCCGCAGCTCCTCGAGGCGCTCGCGGCGCAGGCGAATCGGCCCGGCGCCGCGACGATGAGCATGCCGCCTAGGCTACCACCGCGCACGGCGCAGTCTGCCCCCGTGACGGCGACGCAAGGGAGACCTCACGCGCAGAATCAGCAGCAGCAGAGACCACCACAGCAGCAGCAGCAGCACCCCGCGATGGCGGCGCCGCAGTATGATCCGCTGTACCCCCCGCAGATGGGCACACCTGGCGCGGCCAACTTTGACGAGGCGCCGCCTAGTTATGATGAGGCTATGGCTGCGGAGGCGCCTGCGCCGGGACCGGAATCGAGGCCTGCGTATAGTGGCGTTACGAACGAGAATGCGCCGAGTCAGATTCCGGAGAAGGGGAATTAAGAGAGAGAGATGATGGAATGAGGGTACGATGAGTTTGGGGAAGTTCTTTTTGTAACATTGGGACTTGGACTCTTAGAGTCTCGAGGAGATTCTTGATGGGAGGGATGGGATACTTTGGTGGCATTAATGAGTAACGTTGGATTTCGTTTGGGGGGGGGGGGGTGTTTGAGAGGGCTGGTGGGAGCTCGACAGATGGGCATCGTGGCATCGGGGAGATGAGGGTTGGGGCGGGTGATGAAGCGTTGTTGTTTATTATACCATGATCAATATTGAAGGGATGTTGCACTTTGAAAGTAACATGATGTCTTCCAATGATGCTGTTTCCGTGGGGGGCTGTTGAGGATATGACGAGATGAATCTTTCGTGTACTTATTACTCGTGATCTTTTCGGCTCCAGATAAAGCAGAGCTGGAAGGCTACCGTGACTTGGAACCATTCGGGAGGACAGTTTATCTCATTTGAGCATCTAGCTATGCTTGACGGCCTCCAGATATTTGTAATTACCACCTTCAAGGCCAGAGCCGCCTCTAAAAAGTTCCATAGACCTAGAGATGTGTTTTGACTGACAGAACCTTTTGACCACTGCAAGCGCATACACAGGGGCGCAGAATCAAATTTCACGTGCTTCAGATGTGCACCCCGGGGGCTTAGCATGGTAGATGTGACATTTCTTCTGCCCCTGTCAATAATGGACAGGCGTTGAATCTCTGGGTTGGAATTTGCTACACTATATATAGCCGCCACTCGTGAGCTTGTCCCATTCTTCCACAGCGCGAGGGTAGGTATTCAGCGTCCGCAACGTGCTCTGTTCCGGACGTCAGGCATGACCTAAGTGCGGTCAAGGTGTAGACTGGTATGTCGCGTCTTGGGATAGGTTCAGGTAAAGCTGCACAAGATAGGTAGGTACTTCATTAGGTTCAACTCTACAAGCTACAGAGCTCCATGTCCTACCTTACGTCCCCTTCTTCGTATTCAGCATTGAATACTCCGAACAGGACTGAAGATTAGGCAAGAATGCCAGACTTGAGTTTGCCCGCCTTATTGATCGTGTACGCGAGAGGTTGGGAAGAGAATTCTACGTACCCTTGGGCGACGGTCGACTGCGCGGAAGACGTCTCCTCCCGTCCCCGGATCCCATCTTATCGACGAGAAAGTGTTGTTGCTCCAACAATTACAGGCACATCTTGACTTTCGAATTTATACGTAGCGGTCCGCGTCAAGGGATGGGCTCCTTCCGCTGGTAGATTGGCATTGACACAACTAGTAGTCAGTGTCAGGACTTGGCCGTAACATCAAGGCAATGAGCCTCTGGAGACCAGCTCAAAGTCCTGGCTGTGGGACCTCTAGTAAGCACTGGCCTTGAGGGAGTCGGTTGTCTACAGTTACTGCCGAGGTGTCTTCGTTGACGAACCTCCGTGGTACTGCCTGAACTTCGGGAAACTTGATATTTGCGATGCACACAATCTATACGAAGCATCGGAACTGGGGCGCTGGTCATGCATGTGCTTTCGTGATATGCGTCCTCGGCTTCTCTTCCTCTTATAGCTATTCAATCTATAAATTACAACACGTCTCAATACTTACACGTCTTCATCTAGTCCATAACGCCATTGCTCGCTATTTCTATCCTTTGCCCCCTTCGTACTCTTACACAACTCATAGTAGAGATTACAGTCGTAGCCAGCATAATTGTCGTACCCCTCAAAGTGAGTCCATCTTACACCTCATACAGCAACAGCCGCCTCATAACCCCTCCTTGGCCAACATATCCGCAATATCAAGATAAAAAGCAACAGCATTGAACGTCCTCGTCTGCCCCATCCACACCTTCCTCAACGTCCACTTGAGCCGATTCGACCAATTAATCAAATCCAAATGGCTCACATCCAGCAACGTACCCTGATACTTCCCCCACCGACTACTCGCAACACTCACCAGCCCATCATTCGCGCCTTCGGCATCCTCAATAACCCAATGACTCTGCCGAAACGGACTCAGCAGCGGCGGCCGATCCGTACACGCACCATAACTAAAATACCGCACCTCATCACTATCCGGCGTCGCAGGGTTAAACTTCTCCTCCATGTACCGCTGCGTAAGCTGCTCAAAAGCCTGCGTCCCCAACCCAGCGCGCTCCATAAGCCCATACAAATTCGCGAGCTTGATGGGGCCCTGTCCATCAAGCAAGTAATCCGCAAACGCGCTCCCGCGATGCGGCGTCGCGACGGTGACGAGGCTAAGCACTTTGACGTCGCGCGGCTTGAGGTGGGAAATCATGTAGCGCGCATCGAGCCCGCCCATGGAATGCGCCACGATGTTGACGGCGCGGCCGCCGGCTTTGGCGGCGATGTCGGCGGCCAGCTTGGCTGCGCGGTCCTCGATGGACGCCGAGGGCGGGACGGAGGTGGTGATGATGTTGGACGGGCCGGAGAGGGTGCTTAGCGAGTCGGAGATGCCGCGCCAGTAGTGGATTGGCGGGACGTAGGCGCCGAGGCGCAGTTCGGAGAAGCCCATCAGGCCGTGGGCGAGGACGATGGGGTTCTTTGGCGTGTCTGTTGTGCGTGTAAGTGTGGGTGGATCATTGTGGCTGGACCGAGGCGGGGAGGCGAGAGAGGGGAGGAGGGGAGAAAAGCAGGAGGACTCGAAAAGAGGTGTTGGGAGGGCAATATCCTAGAAAGAGCAAACAAGTGAAAGGGGAAAGGATCGGATCGGTTGAACGAGGGGGGGTAAAATGGTACCATAGTGTTCTCTGACGACGGCATACTCGTCCGATATCTGTTTGCCCAGGTCTCTGAACCTCGGGTCACCGTCGTGCTTCGGCCGCAAGGGCGAGGCGGAGAAGGGACGGCTGTCACGGGCTGCAAGAGGGCGAAGCAAGCGATGAGACGCGGTTGGCGCAAAAATCAGCCGGGAGGAGGGCGCGCGAGGGCGGCACCTCGTGAGGCATGCGCTGTTCATGGCATGGAAGGAAGAGCGCGGGCCGCCACGCGCGGGGTGGTGGGGGGGAAGGGGAGGGGGAGGGGGAGAAGGAGGAGGAGGAGAGAGAGAGAGAGAGAGAGAGAAGCTGGAAAGTCTGGAGGTCTCAAGTTCTATCAAGTCTGTAGTCACTTGATGAGCAGTGGATGTACTCTCTGTTCAGGTTGTAACCTGTTGGCCCCCCCTCTGTTCTGTACCGGATTGTTTGCTTTGCTTGTTTTTCTCGAGGATGTGAGTGGCCTGGTCTAGTCCCGGTTCATCGACTTTTTGTTTTCTTTACAAGGTTTGTAATGGAGTGTGGAACGAAGATGCTTGCTCTGCAATGTCTGCATGTGTGTCAGTGTGTGTGTGTGCTGCGGAAAGGAAGGAAGAAACGCGCATTTCTGAGCAATGAGAGGTGTTTGCCAAGCATGTTTAAGCGCCCGGCTCTTTGACGTCATGCAGGACCGCGGCCGCGAACGGTTTAGCGCGACAGCCGGGGGGTCTCTCGGCCGAGGGGTCCACCGTGCGCTGGTGCGAGTGGGGTCCTTTTGGGGCCTGGCTTTGCGGGCACGGCGGGCTTGCGGCTTACATACCCTGGGCTGCGGCCGCTAGTGATTAGTGGACGGATGTCACCCGCACAATCCACCGCTTGATCAGAGCTTCTTTTTTCCACTTCCTTCCCACAGTCCGTCAGTCAGGGTAGCGATACAGGCTATGGCCTGTGCGATCTGCGCCCTTGTCGACCAGGGGTTGGGATGGTCCATGGATGTTATAACTTGTTGGTGCTGGTGTTGGTCTTTTTTGCTTAGCTTCGCAGACACGCAGGCCAGCACTGCACACTACCAGATGCTGCCCTGAAGTTTGCCAATCTTGTTCCGCCTTCGGGTGCCAGTCCCGGTCCTTGGTCTTGTTCTTGATCAGAGTTCAGACTTTCCCGTCCCTAGGCTCCCCGTCACCCCACCCAACTGCCAAAACCAACGCCCGCCGGCTGTTGGTTCATCTCGTTGCTGTCGTCTTCCGCCGCCATCTTCGAGGGTTGTCAAGGTGTGAGGGCGGCCGCATCATGCAAGCTGCAGTCGCCTGCTGTGCGGTGCGGGCGTGCGCACACAGTTTGTTGCACTGCACCTGCCATGCCAGGCCATGGCAGGAGACGAATCTCGGGTACGTCGGCCATGATCCATCGGCTCCTGGCGATTCTGCCTGCCCTCTCATTTTCCTCCCTGATCATCCTCTCTTCTCTCACTGCACCTCCATCATCGATGCTACTGTTGGTCGGCCTCAGAATCAACACGCACGAGACAGGAAACCCGTAAGTCAGGCTCCGATTCCGAAACCTGTCTGGCCCCCTCGAGTGTGTTTGCCCTTTCGCGAATGATATCCCATCGTTGACTGTTTCCCCCGCTTCTGGGGCCACGTCTTGATTTCCTGCCCCCAATCCCCAACGTGTCCACGGGCTTAAAGTGCAATGCGGCGTAGCAGCTCAAAGTTGAAAGGACTGGCTGTAAACCAATCTGTTCAACACCCTCCCGCGGCCAAGCTGTAGGGCAGATGAGAGCAACGGCTGCTTTTTTCATTGGATGGCGACCCCCTGCTCACCGGCCATCGTAGACCAACATGGCCTCACTGAATGACCGTCCAGTGTAACCTCCTCATCTGCGCCACCCGTGGGTAAACAGGCCGCAACCGCCAACCTTGCCTGCTTGATTGGTCCAGAGCTTATGCTGAAGAGGGCCCGGATCTGCAAACTTTCGACTGTTGCACCGTCGAACCGTTCCGCTGGGACGGCTTCGCCCTCTCACGCCCGCCATCCACACCCACACTTGTGTTTGTTTGCTTGCCTGCCTCGCTGGCTTGTTGGGAGGCGTCAGCGCCTTCTTCTTCCTTCACGGCAGTTGGCCCTCTCGAAAAAAGCCACTCAGCACTGCTTACTGTTGTTCATCAGTCAAGTTGCGATTCGTCTTAAAGGTACCGTCATCGTTGTGTTGTCAGTCACCGACTAGAGGTATCCGCGAAGTCGCCCGGTTGAAGATCGACTGAAGAAAGTTCTTGTTGGTACAACGTCTCTTCTGTAGTGGATGTATCCATAACGGATGAAACCGCGGAAGCTGATGGTGTGCCCGTTTGGATCGACCCCGGCCTGGTCCTGCGTGTACCTACCTCCATCCCCGTCGGGCCGCTCGTCTTTATTGTCCACGGCCTCTGCTGTCCGCAATCATCCATATCCCAACCGTCGCGATTATGCAGACCGGTTTGCTGGAATGCTTGACCCATTACACACCTGGCTCCTGCCGCGTGTATGTATATATCTCCAATGCCCGGCGCGCTTCTTCCTTTCCCGCTCCTTCTCTCGGCATGTCTAGCCACCCGATGGTCAAGCGACGCAACGTTCACCGTCGCCTGTCAAGTGGAACGTGAGCACAATGACAGGCGACTGCGGAGACTCGTGCCCCTACCCGGGGGGCTTTACCTCCTACTCGCCTTCGGTAATTGGTAGTGCCATCTTTCTGGTAGCCTTTGCGCTGCTCGTGCCTCTAGCCTTGTACCAAGGCTTTCGTTTCAAGACGCCCCTATTCGCGTCAACTCTGGCTACCGGTCTTCTTCTCGAGGTCTTGGGCTTCGCTGGAAGATTGAGGCTTCGAAACGATACCGCCAGCGGTACCTCATTCTCCCTGTGGCTCATCGGCGCCATCTTGGGCCCTACTCTCATCGCAGCGGCCATATTCCAGATCCTTCCCCATGTCATCGCCCTTTACGGTCTCGGAATTGGCTTAACCCGGCCAAGAGTCGCTGTCTTGTTCCTCATCTTCGCTCTTGCTCTCGTCATTGCGCTGGAAATTGCCGGGGTTGTCTCAGCTGTCTTTGGACTCGGTGGTGTTCAGGTATGGGCTTTATGATTCCTCTTCTCCAGGGTTTTCCATCTCTAATAAGCTACCACAGACGCCTTCGATTCTTCTTGCGGGATTAGGCGTCCAGATATTGGCGTTGCTGCTCTTCGTCGGACTGTTCCTCTGGTTTACCCAGAAGCTTCCTGATCCAAAGCACATCGCCGTGTATCAAGCACCGCGGTTCAAGAACTTTGTCAAGAGTAAGTAGACCCATTGCTGCATAAACGACATAGTCTGACAGTATCTTCCCAGTGATACCAGCAGTGGCGGTCGTCTTGGTGGGGCACACCATCTATCGCCTCGTTGAGTTCTGGGACGGACTCAATAGCCCTCTTCAGCGGTCGGAAGCCGCGTCTCTGGTCATCGGCGGTGCTTTGCCATTTCTAGTCGCCGCAGTCTTATGCGTATATCATCCTGGCGCATCCTTTGGCCGGGCATGGGGTCTGACTTCGCCGCGATATCGATCGTTATCTCTGAAGTCGCGCCGCGGTGCTCCATCGCCTCTGCAGTCGCCTACTGCACCTTGGGATGACCACAAAGGGCCCCGTCAGCCGGGTTTCACTGCCACACGGTTCCCAGACAAAAAGATGTCGCCCGTCGGAGTTGGTCCAGTTCCCTTGAGAGAGTCAACGATGGCAAGCAAGGTTGCCGGTAGCCCCGGCAATAGATCGGTCACCTACCCAAGCCCGATTGCTTCGACACACAAGTTGAGTCCCATCGGCTCACAACACAAAATGAGCCCAACCTTCCAGGGCACTCAACAGCAGCCGACAAATCCCAATCGCTACAGTAACACCAAGCCTAATGCAAAGCCAATGGTAAATAGTGAAGAGTTGTGGTAGCGTGAATTTGGTAAAGAGTGTCTTGGGCCTGGTGTTGTTGATTCGTGCAATGGTATAGCCTCTTTCATGCGGTAGCGCGGCGTTTGACATTTTTGGTGGCGGTGAATGCTGTGGATTTTTGTCTTTTCGTTACCAGGATACCATTCTCCTGTATATACCTTGGGCGGCTAGAGTTGATCTTGATATTTATATTTACCCATAGCCTCTGCATTTCGAGATGAAGATTGCTTGAGGTTACAAAGTAAAAGCACCCGTAGCTTTCCTCCAAAAGAAATATGCCAAGCCGAAAGCTGCGCCTCCGAGGTGTCCGGCATGTCCCACTCCTGTGTCTCGCTCGGTGCTCAGGCAGTAGGCGTCCACGGCAAACATTCCTAGGACAACGACGCGCAAGGGCAGAACCTGGTTTGTTCCGGAAAGGCGGACCTTCATCGTGGGAAACATCAACGCCAGGGCTGTGCCGAGACCAGTCAAGGCTCCGCTTGCCCCGACAGCTGTCCTCTCGGCACTGTTCTTTGCTCCCCTTCCTCTCCGGGCATTGAAAATGTGACAAAGGCAAGCGGTGATTGCACTCCCGAGGGACAGTATGACAAATCGTAGCGGCGATATACTGAGTAGATAGAACGACTCGACATATGTTTTGTATGTTGACATGTTGACGAAGAGGTGTAAAGGCTGAGTGTGACTGAATGCTGAGGTAAAGAAGGTGAGTAGTCGGGGGTTGCTTGAGCTGAGCATGAAGTACTTGTGAAGAAATGCTGAAAGACGCCTGCGGTCTATCGGGAGCGAGGAGAAAATGGGATGGAGGGCGGCGAGCCAAGCGAGATGGATGGCAATATTGGTCACGGGAACTCCGTAGAAGAGGGTAGTCCAGACTGGTCCAATATTGCTGGGTGCGAATCTTGAAGGATATCTAAATACTGATAATGATGCCATATTGACGTTTCCTTCTTGAAAGACGAGTGGGCACTAGAAAGAAGAGGCAATAGATGGAGACGGAGACCTTGAAGTAGCGGTGTTGGGTATGAACAAGATGAGACCCAATATCTCGGAGGTGTTCTCAGAGGTTTTTGGGTTTGTGCGGGTTGAACCAGTCTTGATACCTCGATATCATGAACTTCAGTATCGATTTTCGTATAACGATGACCAACGGCAAAGAATGTGTAGATTGTACAGAGTCTAGATGGCGTGAAGTTGTCGCCTTCTGTCGAGGTAGATTGTTGGGTTTGCAGTGCTCCGTTTTGGAAAGGAGCCGAAGTCATCGTGCTGTCTGCACGGACCATACGGGTTGAAGAAGGAATGGTCTGTGCCCAAGGTGCGTGTGTACGTACCTTAGCTCCTGACAGTGCTGATCTTGAGCCGAGCACTGTAACTTCTTCCTCAAGCATCCAATTGTTCAGTGTTCTTATCAGCGACTTCTCGAATTTTTCATTCACACGTTTCCTTCTACATAGATCAGACACATTACCTTCTGCCACTAGACTCTGCCTTCCTTTCTGCTGCTCGTGGGCTCTCCCCGATTTTCCCTGGTGTCGAGTTATCTGTCTGCTTGCCAACTTGACCAGCGCCTTCCCCTTTCTCGAGATCCACCATCTCGACATCTTCAGACAGGCCACCTACAGCCTCAACTTGACCGGCGTCATTTTCCAGCGGCTGGCTTCCGGCGCTCTCGCTGCGTACATATCCAGTACTCCGTGACCATCTGTTCAAAACACTTTTCCTATTGGAAGTCGCCGTGGACGTCATCGTGTTTCTCTTGCTTGCGGCGCCTGTACTGTCCAACTGGCTGCGCATTCCGAGCATCAAAGTAACATGCCGGAGGAGAGGCTGCAGTGCTGGGAAACACCCGACCCAGAGACCAACATGAAGCTCAGCGTCGGTCCACGCAGCTACTGTAAGCATCTTGTATGTGCTATTTCGTGTTAGTTTGCTGAAGATGCTACGCGTTCGCGACAAGGAGTACTTACGTGTTGACACTGAAATCGGCTGTGACGATGATGGAAAAGCGAACGATTCCAGTGGCGACGGCAAAGATACCCAGAGAAAACACGAGCAAAATTTGTATAGCCTTGACGCCCATTTTGACGTAATTCGTTACGACACACAGCGGAAGGACGACCAGCATACAATCAACAAATATGCAAATAATGGCATGGGCCAGCATCATCGATCGATCCTCTCGTTTGTCCCTGCATTGCCGCCATGTGCTGGAATAATTGAAGACATCGCTAGGGCACCAAGTCAGCCAACCATCGCTACATCTCAGGAGAGGATCACCTTACGGTATCTGCGAGCATTCCGTCAAGACGAAAAAGAATCCCGACAAACTGATTATGATCACAATGGCATTGAGGGCATAAATGCTCCAGGTATACATCTCTGGCAACGAACATCAGCAATTTGTCTTGTTGGAGAATGGAATCATCATACTGTTCTTGCTCAAGCGCGGAAGAAACGCCAATATTGATAAGCGTACTGCGCCAGAAGCGAGGAAGTAGACCAACTCCATAATGGAAAGCCTCTATTCGCAGTATGTCAGCTCTGTGGAAGAACTTCAAGAGACGCGTCAACGGACCTTTAAAAATTGAAGCAGCGTCGGTCGGGGAACATCCTCAATCTGGGCCCCGGTGCCATAGTTGGTCGTGTCCATCTCGAGGGCCGAGATTGTGACACACAAGGCCTGGTTCCCAGTGTTAGTCCACAATTTACACGAGGGAACGGCTTGACCTACCCAAGCTACTATTGCAAGGAAGTCATCCCAGCCCAGAGCCTTTGCTACAATCTTCCGCGTGAACAGACGGAGAGAGGCTAATAATGTCGAAACAAGAATCAGAGCTAGGTTCAGGTTGAATATATGGTGTCCACCCGAGTTAGGGTGGTACCGCAAGGATTGTCCGACTTCAACCATTTTAACTCGTCAACACAATGTCGTTGGATTTGAGTGCTTCGAAAGCTTCGAGATTCTTGCCTTTCATGGAAGAGACCAAGATCATGTGCCGATTATCCGAGGCGGCCGATGGTTATAATGGAGTCATGGACCACAGTTGCCAGCGTTGAGCCTGTGCCTGACACGTGGGCTACGGAAACATCTACGGACGAGAAGGCACTCGACGCCCAAGACATACACCAAACCTCGTTGCGAACAACTTGTGCACTTTCTCACGCCTTTAGTCCCCATACAGTCAGAAACTGGAGTCTGCCGAGCATGAGAGGCCTCTGGAGGCGAGGTCCAGGCTGAGGTAGAGATGTGTCGATGAGCCACAACACCCGCCGGAATCGCCAATCGCCGCTGAAGCTAGCGTTCAAGCTCAACACCGGTCTCAGAAGCTACGTCTTCGGCCGGAAAGACGCGGGGTGGCTAGGTAGGCGTTCCAAGTGGTTCACGACGCGCTGAATGATCTGTGAACAGGGGCTTGGGCTGAATTTGAGAGTTGGCAATCATGATACATTAGTTTGGGGAGTTTTCCTGCTCTTCAATGATAGAATTGTAAGTATGGACTGTCGTTCTATCATCAGAAGAGCTTCCAGTTCTGTTGTCGTCACCGCGCAGATCACATCGCGCAATATCGAGACGTCTCTGTTTTCACATTCCGTTCCCGGATGCTTTCTTTCTTGCTTCTGTCCTTCAATGACCTTCGATTTTCTTTCTCGTCGAGAAGAGAAGTCTCAGAACACCTGTCAAACGGTCGTGTTTCTTCGGCAATGAGTGTGTATGATGCTTCTCGAAAGCTTGGCCTAGATCTCGAGCTTGACTTGACGAAAGCGTCCAGGTCCAAACCTTAATGATGGCCTCAAAGATTTAAAGCATCGCCACTCGGTTGTAGACGAACAATACCCATCGCGGAAAGAGCTTTGAGTTTTGCAGCGCGTTCAACGTCCGATGCCCAAAGATCGGGCTGTGCTTACTCATGCCCAAAACGACACATGCATTCCTCGCCATTGCCGCGATCCAGGCCCTCCCTTCAAAGACATTTACATCTGATTCAATTCAGCATCCCACCGAACAAGCCCGGCGCCCATCGCATCAATAAATTTGGCAGAAAACAGTAGTTCTTTCATCAATGCCCCTCGGGACACATGAGCAAGCAGGGGAGCCTGTCAGCGATCCAGACGAGTTCGGTACTCAGATGCCAGGCAATTTACTCCGTACATCCCTCATTGTTCTTGCAATTCGATCTTCCTTTCGGTTGGTCTTGGCATACGACGCCCTTGACGAACGCGGCAATCGCTGATCCATACCAACAAATCGAGGGGCAGTCTTGGCCTAATTCCACATCCTGCGTCACTTGTTCCGCCGGCTCGCGGAGAGAGGGGGGCCAAGGGCCTTTGGGAATTTCAAATCGAATGATTTACTTCATCACCTAAATCCGAAAAGTCGTTCAGAGAGGCTGGGCACCTGCCGCGAATTTGTAAGGTAAGAGTTGAACCAAACACTCTTCATCATTATTCACTTTTAGCTTACCCCAAGTCAAAGGTCCTGCTTCAACCTCATCCCTTGCAACACCCTCAGCTCTGCCAACTTAGCTCTCAACACTGCACAAAGATATTTCTTCCTCTTTCTGTGGAGTAAAGTCAACGAATGCTTCAAATCAGAAGCTCGGAATTCGGGCGTTGCCAAAATAAGCACCGACCAGATTAAGGTCCAAGAAGAAGAAGAAGAATAAGCAAAGGGAGAAGAACGCATGCCGGCACCGTCCGTGGCGCACATTAAACTAGCATATCGCCGTTTTCATCAGGACACCAAACAAAAAAAAATCATCAGCCTCCAAGCCGAACAATACCAGAGAGCAAAGTTTTCTTCCTAATGAGTACCTCGTCTCAATCCGACATCCTCGCCCCTGCTGTCGCCGACCCCGCCGCCCAAACCGTCAACACCCTTCTCCTCCGCACCTACGCCCTGCTGCAAACACCTCTGTCCATCCTAAAGCTTCACCAGGCCCTCAACGCCGCAGACCAGGCCATCGCGATAGCGGCGCACCTGCACCGCTTCGACCTCGAGCCTCGCGCTTATTTGTACCGTGGCCATGTCCTCAGCGCCTGGGGCCGCTGGCGCGAGGCTCATGCCGCGTACGTCCGGGCTGCCAGCGTGAGGGGGGTCGGGTTCGCGGGGACTGATATACGGGGCTTGACGAGGGATTGTATCACGATGATTGAGTTTGAGGACGCGAGGAGTCGGGATGTGAAACGCGCTCTCGAGATTGACGGCAAAGTAAAGGATGGGTTGAAGATGGTGCGATTTAGGGACGAGGAGATGGTCCTCGAGGCTTTTTACGATTATGATGACGATGATACTTATGACGAGAACGACGACGACGAAACGCAATCTGAAGCGAGCCACTGTGGGCTCTATCTTATTTTGAATGGCAGCGGGGAAGTTGTCGGTAGCCGGGAGAGTCTGCCTGATCTGAGGAGTGTACGTGGTAGATCTGTCAGCAGATCGCCGACGCTATGAGTGAAAGGGGCGGGATAACGGTCGCAATTATGAGCATAATTCCAAGAATTTCATGATAGCTGAATGTTGCTGCTAAGCGCTGCCATGTGAGATACTTACATGATCCACCGAAAAGCTCAAACAATTAGTTGAATGCCTGATGCCCCCTTACCTAGTTGCCTTTGTGAATAAGAACCATTGAGTTCTTTGATGGTATTGTAAACGTCGCGGCAGGTTCAATCTCCAAACAAGCATAGACACCAAAGCCTTTGTGTTCTACGTCTCCCTTGTATCGTCCTCTTAATACCTTACTTCAAGCAACCAGATGCTCCCCCCATGGAGTTACTAGAAGATACGAGAGGTTTCAACGTCATCCAGGGTTGGGTCAAAGATGAATAATAAAAAAGGAGAGCCCCTATATCCAAGAAAGTCCTAGAGGGTTTGATACTCATATTTCGTTCGACCTGGCTTCTTCTTGTGTTCTTAAGTGTGAGCTTACTAAACTGTCTACTTTCTCATCTCAATTTAATAGCATTTTCAGGCGGCATGTCGGACAAAGAGAAGCCAACATCAACGGTGCCCGGTGATGCATGCAGGAGTGGAAATGATGCCATGACACCCTCCTTTTCCTCCACCACCACTGCACCAGTTGAAGATAGCTCTGCTGACGCTGGATCGAAAGGGTCACAAGTGACAGCAGGGACTTCCTCGGCCCCCAAAGAAGTCTCGCAAGAGTCGAACTCGGAGAAGAAGGCGACCTCGTCGCCAGCCCGCGGCCAGAACCCCTCTTCCCAAGAGAAGCAGCAGTCATCAGACGAGCGAGAAGCCGAGCCCGGAGGAACGGGGTCTTTCAGCCAGACAAATACCAAACCAACACTGGGCTCAAGCGCCCTCAGTTCCCTCCAATCAGCGCTCGACGACGACATTGCATCAGCTATCAAACCGAAAGCTCCTGAGATCTCGACGGATGGGACTCGTCAGACGCGCAACATATCGCTAGCTCCAATCGTTCCCGATACAGAAATTGTCAGCCCCCTCGAGCTCACGTCTTCCGCCCCTCGTACACATTTCCAGCCGTCGACGCCAACACCAGCAGCCTCGCGACTCCCCCGGGGAGATTCCGAATCGGTAGTTGAAGGCTCTGTAGAAAAGGGGTCTGCTCCTAGTCGAAAGGTCAGCGATGGAACAAACGCTACTGCCGATAATCCTACTCGCTCTCAACCGAATCCCAGTCCTGAGGCTGAGCCTGTGCTCCAGCCAGTCTCTAATCCTCCCTTGTACTCTCTATCGACCGAGGAAGCGTTGGACTCGCAATCGATGAGTGCCGTACTTGGGAAAGCAACCAGAGTCTCTCTTCAACGCCCTCTTCCGATAAAGATTGGCCCGAGTCACGAAGACGCCAGACACGGCAGAGACAATGGCGAAGGTGAAGATGACCGCCCTCTCCTACCGTCCGAAGTCTTGCAGAGAACGGAACCCCCTTCACCTGCATCCGTGAGGCCTCTGACGCCGAGGGGGCAAGTGGCGGCGCGTGAGAGAGAGAAGAGAGAAAGAGAGCGCAACGACACCCAAGAAGTGACGAACGAGCGACCGCCGTATCCTGAGGATTCCATGGAAATCCCAGCCCCGAGACGTTGCCGACCCGAGTCTTCCCAAACAGCCACGTCTCCTGGAAAGAGCCGCGCCCGAGACCGAGACGTTTCCCCTGCATCACCGCTCATCCATACTCCTGCGCCAACTCGACCCGGTGAAATCCCAGGTTTCATGAGATCCAGCGAGCCGGTCTCGCCCTCCACTCCCCTCCACAACCAACGACGGCACGGCTCCCGGTCATCGTCAACAGACACCGTAGTCCAGCCCCCACCACCAGTCCATAACCCCCAACGCCGTCGCACGCATCAGCAGCTCCCCGCGGGTCTAGGCGCATACAACGCCGAACCAGAACGCTCCGGCGTGGGGTTCACCCTCCGCCGGATCAAAGTCCCGCCCCCGGGCGCCTCAAACCGCACGCACATCTTCGTCCGCCCGCAGGCCCTCCCCGGCGGCGACGAGGAGCGCAGAATGATCATACAAGTCTGGAACGACACGTTCGCGACGATGCCCCCCGAGTTCCAGTCGATGCTCTCGAGCCGCATCCGGTACCCGGGCTACACGCGCGACGTGGCGGCCCGGCTCCGCAAGGACGAATTCGAAAAGGCGACGGGGGAGAGCATGTCCTCGGACGACTACTACGCACTCTTCGACCTCGAGACGTCCAACGACGGCATGATTTCTGCGCTGCTCGAGTGGATGCAGGGCCGGACGTGGGTGAAGGTGCCGTTTGTGAACCGGATCATTCACCAGCTTTGCCGGCTGATGTATACCTCTGCGCAGGAGGAGGCTCGGCTGCGGCTTACATACCGACTGGATATGGACGCCGTGATGGAGAAGCTCGACGAGGTGAAGGTCAAGTGCGCGGCCGAGAGGATGCAGAGGGCCTGGGAGCGGATGGACGAGTCTGTGAGGCGGCAGCACACGTTTATCGAGCAGACTCTCACGCGGAACGACAATCACTGGGGTCATATCCCGGGCGTGGTGGTGATGACGGGATGCTCTAGAGATGCCAGTCAATGGGATGCGTTCTTCGAGACGGCACGCGCGCTCGCGCTCGACCAACGAGAGATTGAGGAGACCATTGAGAACAGGATCAACGATAGTGGGGAGATTCTGCACGAAGATCTCGAGCGGCTGAAGGGCATCCTCATGGACGTGGCGAAGAACAACAGGGAAGTGAATGAGTACGTGGGCGCCAGACATCGGGGGAACCAGGTGCAGCCCATGTTCCAGATCGACAACAAGGACCTGGTAGAATGTCTCCGTGTCTACAGCGACCAAGTCAAGCTTGATAACAACGAGCGTAGGTCTGCCGTCCTTGCCTTTTCCAAGATCGCGACGCAGCGGTTGGAGGTGCGCCAGAGGTATGCTAGCAGCTTGGACTATATTACTGCGCCAGACCCTCCCGGATCTACTACGCTCGCAGCCGGTTTCCATCCCCAGCCCCAGCCGCCGCCTGAGATACTCGACAATCATCCGCTGCGTTCAGCTCCTACCGAAATTGGGTTTGTCGTTCCCGCGGTGGACGTCCCATCAGAGGCGACAGTATCCGAAGTCACCGCAACGCAAGAAACCCCGCCTCCCCGAGATAGGGTCAGATTCGTCTTGAGCCCTAGAGGTAGCCGGTTCGTAGAATTCATGGACACGACGGTGCCTCCTGGGCCAAGCCCCGTCTTTAAAGATCCATTTACCAAGACCTGGAAAAGGCTCGATTTGACAAGGCCAGAATGCCTGCGGTGTTCCACGCTGGAGCGGGAGATCAGCTCCAGACTCATGGAAATCAAGGATTACTGCCGCATACTAGCGCGCAGGTTGGACGAAAAACTGAAGCTCGAGACCGCGCTCGAAGCCGTGAGCTATCGCGAAATCAGAGAAGCGATGGAAGCCATTCAAAACTACAGGAGGCTGTTGGAACGCCCAGAGGTTCCCGAGTCTCTACAGTGCACCGTTGACCTATTGGAGATGTACGGAAAGCGAGCAGCCGATCAGGTCGGCCTGCTGGAAATATCCCTGAAGCTGGGGCAAGCTGGCGATTCGACGGACAAGGTGTTAGCGGAGCTGAGGACGACGATTAGATCTGTCAAACGACTAGCCGCCGCTGCGCTCGAGCTCAAAGCGCAAATGGAACTTTACCTCGAGAAACCCTACCCCAAGACAGGCAACCAATCTAGCTCGGGCGAGGACAAGGCCGCAGAGAATGAAAAGCAAAGCCGTTTGATTAAATCTTTGCAATTGCAAGTTCGAGAATTGTCAGAACAGACCAAGCGCGGTTTGGAACAACAAGCAACAGAGAAACTTAAGCTTGCGCACGCCGTCGAGCTACGCATGAGGGAAGAGAGTGATCGCCTCCGAGAACAAGTTCGAACTTTCCAGAGTAAGCTTGAATATATGCAGGCCGAGGCCCAAGAACGGAAACAGGACTCGAATTCAGAGCAGACAATGTCGGACAGACTGAGAGAACTCAACAGGGAACGAGAGACACAAGAGACGGAACTTCACAATCTCGAAGCCCAAAACAACGCTTTGGAGGAGCAGCGGCAGAGAACCTCGGATAAGCTCGAAGCTTTGGAGAAGGCCAAGGAAGAGAGCCAAAACGAACTGGCAAAACTTGCACGACAAACCCAAGAGCTTCAGATCAAGCTTCAAGCTAAGAGCGAAGCGGCCAAGTGGATATCGTACATGACTATTCCAAGAGCCGTTGATGACGCCAGCTCCGATGCTCAGCAGACTGATAGAGTCTCTCAGCTGCGGACAGAGTTGATGACTGCGCTTGGCAAGGCACGGTCAGAATCTTATCGCATATTCGGAGACCAACAAACGAGGAAGACTCTGCCAGATTTCATGCAGAGTATTTTATGGCCCGACACCAAGGCAAAGGAGGGCACCAGCGCAGATGTGGCCAATTTCTGGAGGCTAGCTGCTTTCGTGAGAAGGAGAAGGGAAGTCATAGCAGCACTCGAACAGAGGGATCCGCAGAGCTTGCAGAGAGCATTCAACTTGCTTGAAGGGCTCCACGAGTGGAATAGCAACTTGGGTGCTTGGCAGACAGAAGCCCAGACAGCGGAGGTTTGGCGGTCCATCAATCTTCTTAGATCCTATGCCAATCTTGAGCTTGGAAAGATCGAAGGGCTCGACGCTAACGCTTCAGAGAGGCGCACGGTCGCCGGAGAACTGTTCCAACACGCGGTGACTTCTGAAGACGCAGGAGAGATCAAGAAGCCATGGACTTCCTTGCAGAGCAGTCTGGAGGAACAGCTGGATGAGAATACTGACGACGCACCCGCTTGCGACTGCAAGTTTAAACCTCGCCTTTGCCCAAAGCACCAGAGCGGCGGTAAACTCATGTTCCATAACTTTATGGAGGCGGACGGTTCGAGGCAGGCGGAGATAGAGTTGACGCAGGAGGCGTCCGAAGTGCTTCAGCGATTTGGACAGACGTTCAAGGTATCGTCGCCAGCGTAGGTTCGCGCGACAGCGGAGGCATCTGGTAGAGAGATTGCGTATGCTCTGACTAGAGTTCTGCAAGTGGAGGATGATCTGCAAAGCGGTTTTGATGTCGGGTTGGCCCCAGAAAGGAGCAAATGAGAGTGCATACCAGATGCTTGTTTGTTGATAACATCGATTTGCAGTCTACCAAGACTTGGCTCCTATCGCTGCGTGGTGTTAGTTCCTTGTTTCAATGTTAAGATTCTGTTTCTAGAGTTAGAGTCGAGAGTTGAAGTGGCGTGTCTCTCTGCATCCGCGCGGCCAGCTGATTCATGTGTTTCCCCGTTGACCAGGGCAGCGAAGTATGTTGATGAAGGCGGCCTCAAGTGAACGTTGGAATCTGCCAATGACAAATGCGGAAGTGTGTGTGTGTCGTTTAGGTTGACGTCGGTAGTGGTGGGCAGGCGAGTGAAGTCAAATTGATGTTGAGAAGCGGATGGTGGGGCCGGGAGGAGGGAAACGGGGGTATAAGATTACCAGAGGTTACTGAAATACTACCATCTTCAGCTTGGCATCGCGCTTAGGGATGTACCTTGCTATCTACATGGTGCTGCACTTCTGCCAAGTCCTTTCCTCGTCTAGCGTAGTTACCCGCGCGGGTGGATTGCTCACCACACCATTGCATTCCTCTCCTTCTCTCCTCCTCCCTCTTCGTAACACTCATACGCCCAGCTGCTCATAGGTTCAACATGGCTCACCCTTGCGACTCAGCCTTCTGCGCCTCTCCCGCTTGTATGTCCAAATCATAGGTCAACTCAATCCGATCCACCCTCAGCAATACCAAGCCAGACAGATCTGGATCTTGTCTCGGGAACGGCATATCCACGAGCCTCAACCTGCGTCGCCAGTGCGCACGTCAACTGTCTCAGCCCAAACGTGGACCTGGAATGGTCAAGGGGTGTGGCTTTTGATCACATCAAAGATGATGTGAGTGGCACGCAAAGACAGGCACGATCCAGGCACATCATGCTTAGCTGCATCTGTTGTGATGGAGGCAACTCTGGGCTCTGGCAGCCAACGAAAACGACTGCATTTTTGGCGTGCTTCAGAACCTGCCGCTTCCCATCAACTCCGCACTTTGACCTCACATCACGGCTGAGAACACGTGGACGAACAACTCTGTACTCCAGAGAACGAGTGAATTTGTTCCGGAAAGTGACAGCTCAAGAAGCAACGGAAGCACCAGATCCATGACGCCCAACAAAGTCAACGGTAATCTGCCAGCCCGCCAGACGGAATTGCATCGTTCCGGATCCGGCGTATCGCTTGCCCTCCGGTATGGTACGCGTGGATCGAAGGGCAGCGGCCGCTTTCACCAAGACATTTGTCTTTTGAAGGTGAATCAGTCCTCTACCAAGGCTACCAGACTATCGGAGCCAGACGCAGGAGCGATAGAAACGGGCAAGTCGTTACGCGACAAAAGTCTGGTACACGCGATGCTACGCAACTGAGCACGATACAACGGCATCCTGGCCTCGGAGCAGCAATTTGCCCGCCTACTCTAGCTAGACGGCTTGGGCAGTGTCACCGACCGAAAGCCTACCTCATGCCATTCGCCGCCGCCTTCTACAACAGATTGATTAGATCCGTTGACCTGGCCCCATCTCATTGGACACCCTCGCCGGTTGACTTTGACGTACATCCACGTTGTCGCTTCGAGTTGTATGTACGGAGGCAGTATTTGCCCTTCTGACGCAGCGCGCGGCTGCTTCCGGCGATAGCGGCAACGAGCACCAGCCAGCGGTGCAATGTGACGAGTGCAGGCTTACTCGAAGCACACTTTGGCCAGCCGCGTCGCGTCACATCACACTGAGTTCCTGACGGGCTGTCAAACTACGGATAGGAGTGGACGATGAGAGTAGGTAGTCCAGCACTGGCCAGGCCAGGTCCACGCCACTCACTTCATGTCCCGTCCTCCCGCGCTCTCCCGCCTGGCACCTCTAGTTCATCCCGTCCCCAGAGGCGGCGTGTAAGTCCAGGAAACCCCCACTGGCACGGTACCGTTTCCAAGCGATAACATGAGGCCTGTCAAGCAAGCCCTTGACGGCTTATCCTCTCGGGGATTAGACGCGGGTGGACTATGGCGAAGATCACGACTAACGGATCACGGCCTAATGCAGCAAGGTCGCGCTGGGCCAGGTTCACCCATTTAGCAGGTGACTTTGAGGGGGTCGACAACATTTGCTGCTGACAAGACATTCCAAGGATCTCTCACAAGGGATTTTTGAGTCGACTTGCACCCCGAAAGAAACACGGCCCGTACGAGGGCCTTTGCAGTAATGTTTCTATCCCATCTAGGCAAGTCAATCTATCTGCAAGATGCAGATAGGCACGTTGATACCCGAGCTCCACACTGGATGCTACTATCTGGATGCATTTTGGAGCCGGAAGTCTGGCTCACACTCAGCCCTCAGCCCTCGGCCATGACAAGTGTCTGGCTTGTGAGGCGGACTTTGTCTCTCCTTGGCGTTGTCTCGTTTCTTTTTGCGGTTTGGCTCGAATTACTCAAATTGTGTCAACAACCCCCGTACTTCCGTCTTTGGCTGTGTACTGTGTAGCGAGGCCGTCCGAGTCCTGGCGGCGGTTCACGGCACGCTGCAGACAACGGTGGGGTCGAGGGGCTGTCCGTCAAAGGCTCATCCTCGCCGCGTTACGGATCACTCTACTTTAACCTCAACGAACCCTGCTTGCCTACCCTTTCCTTGCCATACTATGTACCCTCCCTACGCAAAAGTACCTCGTCTATGGCCCATGACATTTACACCGCAACGCAAAAGAAATGTAGAGTGCTTTGTCAAGCTGACGAAACCAAAACCGCCAGGCCAAGCTATATGGAGCTAGACATTGCGGCCCTCTTGTTTCTGAACTTCTCGTAGGGGAATCCATCTTAATCTAGATCCACGATCCGTGAGACCTTGCCTAGCAAACAATTTCCCCCGTATTTTCTTCTCGCCTCCCTTCCCGCTTGTCGCTGTCCAAGCTCCGTCCCGCCTTGCTTGCTGCGCCTGCTCCAGCTACGGAGAACAAGATGGCGTGAAAGTTACACCGGCTACCGGCATCGAAGGACCCTCATCGAAGTTGGGGTTGGCCATCTCGTCATTGGGCATTGGCATGGAGCGGTAATATGTGTCTACGTACGGTGTTTGAGCCCTTTTCTCAGTGGTCGTACGACGCAGCTATCCAGGAACGGCTCGAGGCTCTCCACATGGACCAAGGCTTATTACTGTGACTTGTCTGGGCTTCCTCGAGGCGGGACGGGAAAGATGTACCTACCCTACCGTATGAGAGGGGAAAGTCTCTGTTTGTTTTTTTTCGAGACCGGGGACTTCAACAACGGATCGACTTATCTGGGGAACGTGGCGCCTGTCTCACATGGGTGTTTATGGAGCTGGGCAATCGATCCCTGGTATGCACAGGTCTTTGGGGCCGCCGTTGTGTAAGTGCGTTGTAAGCAAGCCAACATGAGAGTGCCAACGAGTTGAGAGGGTGCCAACGAGTTGAGAGGGTGCCATGTGAAACGGGTGGTCGGCCGTGAAGGGAAGGTCTAGACTGAATACACAATCCGACGGCTATCATTGCAACATCTCATCGGTAAACCTTGGCTGATTGCCCTCGAGTCTGACGGTGATACCCTCCCTTCTCTTATCTGGACGTTTGCCCTGCCTGTTGTCTGGGGCCCAGATACGATCGAGAAGGAGGGGGACGATCAGGGAAAATAAGGGTGAGAGGAATAAAACGCCACGCGGGTCAAGCCACGGGAACTACGTCGGTAGACCGCATTCATCCAAGGACAGCGTGTAAGTGGGGGCATGCAGACGACTTGTGCAAGTTCACGCATGAGTTACATAGAGTGGCAGGACTCGACGCCATTTGTTTTTTACAGATTTTTTCAATGCCCCTCTTCTTCAAAAGATAAGTCAGCAGTACTGGATGAAGGAGGAGCAAGGTATAGGATATAGGGAAAAAAGCAAGGAAGGAACGGTCTAGGGAAGGAACCAGGTAGTAGTAGCTCCTTCCTAGACAGATCCGCTCTGCCAAACCTTACGGTCTCATATTATTCAGGGTTGGTTTTTATTTTCGTTTCCTTCTCCTATAAGATCGATTTTAAGTCACAACAAGGGTGGGATGAATCTAGAAACAAAAGGAAGGCACGACTTGGACTGTGTGTAGACCTCCTTCTCTACCTACACCCAATCTACCCGGGCCTATCTCCACCACCACCAACCACTACTTGGCCCCCCTCCTTCACATTCACCACACCTCAATATTTTCTTCCTGGTACACAACGCTTCACCTTATTCTTCCTCACCCTTTCCCGCTCCCGCTTACCGCAAACGGGGGTCATCCAAGTTTTTCTATTTTACACACCTCCCTCCGCCGCGTCCCGAGTAAGTATCTCTCTTCATCACAATACTCTGAGACCCTCCGCGCCATCCTTATCAAACGATGGTTCTTTCAAACACTCGCTGACCCATCATAACAATACCTTTTGTTATAAACTTGGCACATTCCCAGTTCTCATCCGTCTTTTCGGTTCGCTTCATCTCACGACGACAACCTTGCCGACTGCGCTAATCCACCATCCCTCTTACAGATCGCGCGAATAGCTTCACATTGCTCACTCATCCTTACGACTACGCGCAAAAATGGCTGGAGGTGCTAGTGGCCCCTCGGCCTACCCTTTGCTCTTTGCAAAGCGGACCAAGCTCAACCAGGAGGCGACGACCTACTTCGCCATCGCCCTGGCTGCTCTTATGGGCATCTTCATCGTCTTTCACCTTGGTCGTCGTGGTGCTTCCAAGGCTGGTCTCGCTACGAAGATGTCTGGTCTGGCAAAGCCGTCCCTCTTCGTGTCCCGGTAATACATGAGAAAAGAACAACCCGTACTTGATCGTACCAAAATACTGACCCTAACATAGATCCATCCGAAGAGTCGCCGTCTACAAGTTCCCTGCTTTGCCGTCCACTGGCCACTTCGTCGTCGCCCTCGGATATCTCGTAATCAACATCGCCCTGCTGTTCACCCACATCGACGCCTCCGCTCTTCCATATCTCACAGTCATTGCGGCTCGTGCAGGATGGTAAGTTGAATTACACCCCAAATCCCTTAGCATCATTGAAACCGCCAGAAACTGATACTTGATAGGCTGTCCATCGCCAACATCGCTTTCGTGGTCTTTCTTAGTCTGAAGAACACTCCTCTCGGCTTCTTGACCGCCTGGTCCTACGAGCGGCTCAATGTCCTCCATCAAATCGCCGGGTACATCACCATGGTTTTCATCGTTGTACACGGTGCAACGTACTCCGCCTACTTCATCGAGGCTGGTAACATGGCACGCCTTCGTGTTGCTGAGGAAATCTACGGCATTGCTTCCGGATTCACCTTCCTCGCCCTTGTGCTCGCCGGCGCAATCGTCCGCCTCTGGTACTACGAACTGTTCTACATTCTTCACGTATCCTTCTTCGCCATCTCGATGGTTCTCGTCGGCCTTCACCAGCCAGAGCTAAGCAAGAAGATCGTCATCATCACGGCTGTTGCTTCCGGTATCTGGGTCGCCGACCGCGTTGTGAGATTCGTCCGCGTTGTGCTTTACAGCTTCAACAACAACGCAACCATCTACCCGCTTCCCCACGGCGGCACTCGCATCATCCTCAATAAGACCCCCATTGGCGCAAGTTCCGGAGAGCATTGTTTCCTCTGGGTCCCCAAGATCCGCGCTCTGGAGATGCACCCTTTCACGATTGCCGCCACCAACCCGCTGGAGTTTGTCATCAACTCATACGACGGCTTCACCCGCGAGCTCCACGAATACGCAGTCCAGAACCCCGGTGCTACCCTCAAGGCTTCGGTTGAAGGCTCCTATGGAACGTTCCCTAACCCGGCCGAGTACAACAAAATCGTCCTGGTCGCTGGAGGCAGCGGAGCCAGCTTCACTGTTGGCACAGTCCTCAACCTGCTCAATAAGGCCGCACAGGGATCTATGCCGAGTGTCACTTTTGTCTGGATGGTCAAGGATCCTGGTAAGTACATTTCGCGATTACCTTTTTCTCCCAAACACCTAAACTAATCGGATCTCTCAGCTCGTCTCGAATGGTTCGCCGGTCACCTCTCCACGATTCGTCAGGCCCTCGGTGCCAACATCCAGCTGTACGTCACCCGCGCACCTGGAAGCCAGGACTCTTCCCAGAACCCCGGCTCTTCCAAGGAGGACCGCTCCCGCTCGGGCACCATCTCGTCTGAGGCCTCGACACCCTTCACTCCTTCATCTGAGAAGTTCGAGACCACCAACGGCGTTCCCCAGCAGCCCCCAAGGATCAACACTCGCGCCGTATCTGACCCCGAGAAGTCCGGCTTTGAGTCTGATACGACTTCGCCTTCATCTCCCACCATCCAGCAGAACGGAGTTACAAACAGCTTGAGCGGTATCCCTGTCCACTATGGCCGCCCCGACGTCGCCAAGATTATCCAGAACGCTATCGACGAGACCCCCTCCGGCCAGCGAGTTCTCGTTATGGGCTGTGGCCCTGAGAGCCTCATGACGCAAGTCCGCAACACGACTGCCGGGTGCATCCGCACATCTGGTCCCGCTGTCGAGCTTCACTGCGAGCAGTTTGGTTGGTAATTCATTACACTCATCCGTGAGAGAGACGTTATGAGTTATGAACCTGAGCTTCAGCGTGATTTTGGTGTCAATATTCCTGGCCTCCCATGGCCTTTAGTCTCACTCAACATGATTATTCGTGTGCATACTTTGATCTCTTTTGGTCTCTTTGTATGGCGTTGGAGTATATACGGGCAAGGGAGAGGTATACGGCCGGGGACGGGTCTTCTGGATTTGCTCTTTCTTGTGCATTTGTGCGGCAGCTTGGCAACAAAAGAACATAGAATACAGAGACTGGATCCTTTTGGGATTTGTTCAAAGAGATATCGTTCTGCTAGATAGCTGCCGCCAGTCATTTGTCGTCGCGCGCGCGTTCATACCCTTTACAGAAGCTTGGCCTCGGTGGCCACACTGTAATCTTTGATGATTCATAGAACAATGGACAATGGGAAAACCCAAATACTCTATTCGATCCCTTTGTGAAGGTGACTTCCTAATGCATGATATGCTACTTACCCCTTTTGGTTTCAGTGTGGAGTGTAGGAATGGCTGTTCCTTCGTAGAATGATCTGAACTTTTGTAAACTCTGAAGACGGATTTGGCAAGCTCTTCGAGGGGTTTGACAGCTGATGAGGTTGGGGTAGAGACAGATAACGATGACGGGGTTCTGTCGACGATTCCAACGGTCGTCTGATGTCCGGATCGTGATACCCCGCCAAGAACACCCTCTTCCTCTTCCTCTTCCTCTTCCTCCTTCTCCTCCGCCTCCTCTTCGGAGCATCTGCAAGTATGTCGGCCTCTAGCCCAACCTCCTTCGGCCGTGGCTATAGAGAATATTTACCGACAGCCTTTTATAACCTCATACTCTTTCGATAAAGGCCGTTGGTATTGACAACATGAAGTTTCTCGTGCTCAGCTTAATCTTATCCTCGGGCGACGAACGACATATCCCAAGGACTATGTATCAAGCGCACTTTAAATGCTAGTCAAAGCCCTGTCACGATCCCGAGTCTCCCCTTCCCAGTGGCTAAAAGCATTGCAAGAAATTCCGCTTGGCTCAGCCGCGCGATACGTATAGTGGCGGGGGCGTAAAGGCGAAGAAGGAGGAGGGTAGGAACTGAAACACATGAGAACAAGACAGACAACTCGAGCCGGCCCGAAACGAAACAACTTGTCACGAGAGCTTCCCACAGAAACGGGTTGTATGGCAGTAATTCACTTCATAAATGACACTGCCGACACAACGGACTCCTCCAATCGCTCGCTCCCATGCGTCTCATTTCCAGTACCCGAATACTGCCCCCAAAACGGAGCATCGCTTCCCGTAACTTTATTCCCCCGGCTTCCCGATGAAACGATTGAGCACCTGCCAAGCGGACCATCCAACTCCTTTCCCCAAAAGTTGAATGACAATTGAGCCGTCCGCGAAGGAGATGCCAGAGGGAGAAGAAAGTTACGATGACCGAGTTGGGCGATCATGTGGTGCTGTTTTGGGAATCCTCGTCGGGAGTAGGAATGAGATGACATTGGGATTTCTAGCCGGCCTTCTATCAAAATCGGCCGATATACTATATAATTCGGCTCCGATTAATCAGTCTGCAACTACCGCAATAGTAAGCCTTCTCCCCCTTTGTACCGTAATCAAGTAGTATTCGAGCAAGCAGTGGTAACAATTGGTGTCCAGTCTCTCATATCCAACATGGAAAAAACCGGACATCCATTGTTACCACCACTTGGTAGATAGATGACCGCGTTCCCAGCTTTTAGACCAACAGAGGGATAAAGCCCACGACAAGCGGAATGGTCTTTGCGTTTCCAAATCTTTGATGTGAATAGTCTTGTATTCTTGTATTCGGTCTATCTAAGAGTCCGAGAGGAGGTATCATTGTTGAACAGATGCATGTTTCTTTAGTCTTTCTTTCCGTTTCCCCAGCGCCATTTGTTGAATAAATGGAATGCCGCTTTCCTTTTTTCCCCACGTCCCGCCATAAAATCAATTCTCTCTATAAGCGCCCCAAAATCCAAATGTCGTACTTGAAATGATCCCTCGTGCACTTAGAACAAGCCGTCAATCTCACCAGTCTCGGTGTCGACGTCGACGTTCAAGTAACCAGGGGCTGTAGGCAGACCAGGGATGGTCTGAATGTCTGCAGCGAGCGCGTAGCTGTGATTTTGTCAGTAGTGCAATGATTTCTGTACGGGTGGCTCAACTTACACGTAACCCGCACCAGCGGCCAGTCTGACGTCCCGGATGGGGACGGTGAAGCCAGTAGGGGCACCCTTCAGGTCGGGGTCGTGAGACAGGGAGTACTGCGTCTTGGCAACGCAGATGGGAAGGTTTCCGAAGCCTTGTCTGGTGTAGGTATCAACCTTCTTCTGAGCAAGCTCGCTGAACTCAACAGCAGCAGCGCCATACATCTTCTGACCGATAGCCTCGATACGCTGCTGGACGGTTCCCTCGAGATCGTACAGAAGCTTGTAGTCCTTGGGCTTCTCGCTGGCGGCGATGACACCCTTGCCCAGTTCAATGGCGCCCTTTCCACCCTCGGCCCAGTGGTTGGACAGGATGGCATCCTCGGCACCGGCAGCGATGGACTCCTCGCGGATGACAGCGATTTCAGCATCAGTGTCCGTGACGAACTTGTTGATGGCAACCACAACAGGAATGCCGTACTGCTTGGCGTTCTCGATGTGCTTCTTCAAGTTCACGCAACCAGCGCGAAGAATGTCGACATTCTCCTCCTTGTACACAGCGTTGAGAGCGGCACCAGGCGCGATAGGGGGACCGCCGCCGTGAACCTTGAGGGCACGAACAGTAGCAACGATGACGACCACGTCGGGAACAAGACCAGAGGCACGGCACTTGAGGTTGAAGAAACGCTCTCCACCCATGGTGAAGTCGAAGCCAGCCTCAGTGATGGCGAAACCAGCCTTCTCAGAGTGGTCCTCATCAGGCTCGGTACCGACAATCTTCAATGCCATCTTGTCAGCCAAAATGGAGCTGTTGCCAACACTGATGTTGGCAAAAGGACCAGCGTGCACAAACACAGGAGTTCCCTCCAAGGTTTGCATGAGGTTGGGCTTCAGGGCGTCTCTCATCAGGGCAGTGAGCGCACCGCCAGCACCAATGTCGTCGCAGGTGACAGGGTCGCCGGCTCTGGAGCTAGCAATGACCATGTTGCCCAAGCGCTTACGCATATCAGCCAGATCTGTGCTGAGAGCAAGAATGGCCATGCACTCGCTGGCAACAGAAATGTCGAAGCCAGTCTCACGGGTCTGGCCCTTCTCAGTCGGCGCAGTGCCAACGGTGATACCGCGCAAGTGGCGATCGTTGACATCCAGAACTCGTCTCCAGGTGATTGTCTCGGGGTCGATGTCAAGGCGGGCGAAGCGGCGGATCTCCTCCTCGGTAAGCTCGTCGGGGTTTGTCTTCTCAATGCCGAGCTTCTTGAGGCGGGGCAGAAAGACTGGCGGGAAGACTCTCTTGCCGCCCTTGGCGGGCACAAGACGCTTGTAAAGAGGACCGTCCTTCTGAGTGTTCTCATGGAACATGCGAGTCTCGATCGCAGCTGCGAGCAGGTTGTTTGCCGCAGTGATGGCGTGGATATCTCCAGTCAAGTGGAGGTTGAACTCGTCCATAGGGATGACCTGGGCATAACCACCACCAGCGGCACCACCCTTGATACCAAAGGTAGGTCCCTGACTAGGCTGGCGGACGTTGGCGAAGGTGATGCGGCCAAGGTGGGCGCCCAGGGCCTGGGCAATACCCATCGTCGTGGTAGACTTACCCTCGCCAAGAGGCGTGGGGGTGATGCCCGTAACGACAACATACTTGCCGTTGCGACGGTGCTCCAGGCGCTTCAGGATGGTCAAGTCAACCTTGGCCTTGTAGGCTCCGTACGGCTCGAGTTCATGAGATGCAATGCCGACCTCCTTGGCCAGGCGAGTGATTTGCTTGGGGTTCTGGGCTCTGGAGACCTCGATGTCTGAGGGAACGGGCTCCTTAAGGTGAAGCGGCAGAGGAGAGATCTTCCTCTGTCTCTGCTTCTCAAACGACTTGAGTGTGGACTCAACAACGTTGGACAGAAGCATAGCGACGGTCATGGGGCCAACACCACCCGGAACAGGGGTGATGTGAGAAGCAACTTCGGCAGCGGAGCCGTAGTCGACGTCTCCGACGAGGCGTTGACCAGACTTCTTGGAGGCATCGGGGACGTAGTTGGTACCAACATCGATCACGACAACACCAGGCTTGAGCCACTCGCCCTTGACAAAACCGGGCTGGCCAATGGCCGCAATGACGATGTCTGCCGCCTTGAGGTGTGCCTCCAAGTCCCGGCTCTTGGAGTGGCACACGGTGACAGTCGCATCAGCGTTGCGAAGCAGGTAGCTGACAGGGCTGCCCACAATATCGCTGCGTCCAAGAACGACAGCGTTCTTACCCTTTACGTCGACTCCAGCCTCCTCCAAGAGGACCATCACGCCCTTGGGGGTGCAAGGGATGAAGAAGGGGCGACCGCCCTTCTTGGCGAGCTCACCGATATTCCTGGTGCCGAATCCATCGACGTCCTTCTCGTCTGCGACGGCAGATGTGATGACGTACTCGTCGAGGTGCTTCGGGATGGGGAGCTGAACCAAGATGCCGTGGACGGCAGGGTCGTCGTTGAGGCGGTAGATGCGGTCCAAGAGCTCGGGCTCAGAAATGGACTCGGGGAAGTTGACCAATTCGCAATCGACATTTGCCTGACCATGTTAGTCATTGGTCAGTAGATCTGGGGTTCCAGTAACATGTCTTACCTCCTTTGCGGCCTTCTGCTTCATGCGCACATAGGTGCCTGCGGGGTTGTGAGCATCGCGATAAATTTCATGGTGGGGTAAATGGTGAAGCATGACATACTTGAGTCCGATCTGTCACCGACTGTGGAAGATTTTTGTTAGCACTGCAAAAGTATGACGAATGCCGAAAGTGATGAGACATACCCTGAATAATAGTAAGCCGAGGCTGGAACCTGGGGTTCGCCTTTTGCTTCTCGAGAATGTCGCTGGCAATGGAGTCCCGAATCTTCTTGGCGACGGCAGTGCCATCGATCTTGTTGGCGACCATGGCTGAGGTTGCAAAAGACCTATTTGGGGAAATCGTATCGTAGGAACCCGGGGTCCTTGCAATGAACGGACGGGGGGATTGCCAAGAGACCAAAGATGCAGCTTGTCCTCGCAGGTGTCCAAACGCGAAGTTTTTGGGATGATGGGAAGAAGATGAAAATGTCGGGACGGGCACCGAAGTCAAGCGCGCAGGTTGGGTGTAAGCGGGAGCAGCGAGAATGAGGGGTGGTGGGCAGCGGTGCAAGTCGGGATTTAGGGCGCTGCAGGGCCGACGGCCAGATGGGGAACGACCCGTATCTACCCCAAGGTTCAGAAGTGACCGGCGGGAAGAGGAAGTTTGGGTCCCTTGGGACAGTGACGATGGAGTGTGACTGGACGACGGTGCTCTCGAGGGCAAGCCGCGGGTTCTCAGCCGAAGCTGAGACTTGTTGGGCATGGCCATGCGGCGCGTCCAAGACAGCCTCTGAGGGCCTTTCAACTGGCTGATAGACGACATGCCGAATACCGAGATGAGTGTCTGTCTTGCTTTGGGCCTTGGTGGTGTGTTCCTTGCTGGCTTCGATCTTCCCTTGAGTGGAGCTAAACGATAGGGCCCTGTGACTCCCAGATCGCGTGCGTGTGAGTCGTACCTATGACTGTGGCTGTTGAGGTTCCCTGGTCCTGGCTATGCAGACTCTGTACGAGTGAGTCCCAGTGGAAGTGGAAGGATCAGCCGTTTGTGGCAGGTCGAAAACTTTCGGGCGAGTCTCCGAGGCCGGCGGCAAACCCGATCGATAAGAAGTCGAGTTGTGGGTATTATAAAGTAGGCTCAGTATGGAGTAAACAGGCTATTTAGTTGATGAATGTTCCTGCGAATAATATGTTTTGGAAAACATACAATTGAGAAACCAATCAAGACTGAACGGATAAGGAGATTGATTGATCGAATGAATTGACGTGCCCAAGAAGGGAAAAGAGGAAACGGGGTGAGTGATACAAATATGGTACAAGAAACAAGACAAAGACAAAGAAACAAACGACGGTGGTCCGGACGGTCTGATTTTTTTTTTCGCAAAAAAGACTGTCTCGGTAAAGCGCATGTGAAACTACCATGAGCTTCACGTAGTTGAGCCAAAGGGTCCGAGGCTTGACTTGATAGTGTTTAATGCCAAGTTTCGAGGTCCGGAAACGCTGTTCATGGAACACGTATGAGTCAAGGGTGAGTCGGATTGCCATAAAAGGGACGTTGTTATGGTACAGAGTAGTGTACGAAGTAACCAAGTACTCGTCTCGACGGGGAAAATGGACAATGGGAACGGAATGGAACGGCGTGGGAATTGGATGATGATGACCGCACTATTCTGACGGGCACGGAGCTTCAACGGCGGCCACGGGTGGCATGCCACGACTGCCACGCTGTCTGGCTTGGACTTGAACAGTTGGACTTGGAAGGTTGGAGCTGCCATGACTCCCGTCCCGCCGGCAGCCTCTCCAGAGGCAGCTCCTTCCGTGACGTGCACCAGCCTGGACCGGCACGCTAAAGTTCTAGAAGGAAGGCCGGGTTGGCCTGCACTGATGGAAGGTTCCTCGAACACCTCCCTCAGGCGTGACAGGTACCTACCTAGCATGCTACAGTACTTCATTACCTGAGGTCGACTGTACCTATCAGAGGTCGGGTGCTTTCCATTGGGAGAGGAGGTGAGCTGTCGCGCGCCACGAGCTAGGACGGTTGACTCACCTTGCTGTGCCACGGTGACTGCCCATGCCCGTGCTAAGGTAAGCTAACACCAATTGCCTGAGGCGGCTCAAGGCGGTAAGGCGGTGAAAGACCTTCACCTCAACCGGCAGAATGGTCGCGGGGAAAAAGTGCGCCCCACACACCAGAGCACCGAAACCCACAATGTCGAGGTGAAGGCAAAAATTCACGATTGACCCGACGACACCAGCCTTTTAAAGACCGACGTCCCCTGCCGCAACAACGTGCCCGCATACCAAGCCCCCCGATATCGAGAACCGCATCACCTCCCGACATCAGACAATATGAGGCCCATTCTTTTGGCAGGTCACGAGCGTGCGCTCACCCAGATCAAGTACGTTTCTGCAACCCCCAGCACGCGAAATGTCCAATCCAAGGAGGGGGAACCGAAGCGCCCAGGGCTCTCTTTTCCCTCAACTACCAACTCCCATACCATAGGAGGGGCTACACATGCTAACCCGATGCGCCCACATCACATAGGTACAACTCGGACGGCGACCTCATCTTCTCGACCGCCAAGGATCAACAGATTTGCGCCTGGTACGCACACAATGGAGAGCGTTTGGGAACCTACCACGGCCACGTCGGTGCCATCTGGACCGTCGACGTCGACCCCACCAGCACCCTGATTGCTTCCGGTTCCGCCGACAACACGATGAGACTTTGGGATGTCAAGACCGGCAAGAACCTCAAGACCTGGGAGTTCCCTACCGCTGTCAAGCGCGTCGAGTTCAACGAGGACGGCACCAAGCTGCTCGGTGTCACGGAGAAGCGCATGGGTTTCCTTTCCAACATCATCGTTGTCGACATCAACCCCGACCCCGAGGCCGAGCAGAGCGATGAGCGCGTCCTGACCATTGTCTGCGACGAGAGCAAGGCCACCGTTGCTGGCTTCAGCTACCTCACCAAGTACATTATCGCCGGTCACGAGGACGGTTCCGTGTCGCAGTACGATGCCAAGGTGGGTCTGGTCAGAGCGATATCATAAGGGGGAACTTGAAGCTGACCGTCTTCTAGAACGGTGACCTGATCTACAACGAGCCCGTCCACGAGCTTAACACGCCCATCACGGATCTCCAGTGGTCGCAGGACAGAACCTACTTCATCACCGCCTCCAAGGACAAGACGTCCAAGGTACATCCAACATATCAGACGATCCGCGAGACCAAATGCTGACTGGATATAGCTCATCACCGCCAAGGACCTCGAGGTTCTCAAGACCTACACCGCTGATACCCCCCTCAACAGTGCCACCATCACACCCAAGAAGGACTTTGTCATCCTCGGAGGTGGTCAGGCCGCCATGGATGTCACCCGTACTTCGGCGAGACAAGGAAAGTTCGAGGCAAGATTCTACCACAAGGTCTTTGAAGACGAGGTTGGCAGAGTCCGTGGTCACTTCGGTCCTCTGGTAAGCCCCCCTGAGCTTCATGATGTCATATTATGCCGGCGACTGACTATTTTGAAGAACACCGTTGCCGCAGACCCCACCGGAAAGGGCTACGCAAGTGGTGGTGAGGACGGTTACGTCCGTGTCCACCAGTTCGACAAGGGCTACTTCGATTTCATGTACGAGGTCGAGCGGGAACGGAAGAACAGACAGGAGAATTAAAGAAAGATTGGGGAATTTTGGTTGGAAAGAAAAAAATTCAAGAGCAAGGCCCCCTTTTTTTTTTCTCTTCTTTCGTCTTTCTTTCGCGGCTTGCATTAGTACGGCGTTCTGGGAAATCTCTGGGGGGATGGTTAGATTTGGTTTTGTAAAAACCTAGGGCAGTCCGCGAAAACCAAAAACGAAAGTAAAAAGAAGCCTGGTAAAACGGATGATATCAAACTTTCCTCCTCTCCGCGCTTTTGGGGCGGCGGGGAGAAGCCTTCGAGGATGAGATGAACCAAAATGTAATGATGAGATTTCTGACAAACAATAAGTTAGTACCATCGAATGAAAGTCATGATGATGTCTGAATGTGGTTTACTAGTCTGCTGCATTGAATTCCCATATATTTATTTGCTCGTGTAGGTTACCTTGCCGTGTCTTCTGGCATGAGATTTCACTGGTCCATGAAGGTACATGCGTGCAGACATTCGCATGTTGCGACTGAGAGTTGCGTAGCCCCCTACAACTTCCTGCAACTTCCTACAACGCCTGAGATGTCCAAAAGCAAAAGAGAGGAAACAGCCGTCACTATCGTCCATCCTGAAGCTATTCCCGTCTGAATCAGTGTCGAAAACAGCAAAAAATGAAAGGGACGAGACTCGAACTCGCGCGGGTTGCCCCACCAGGAAACAGATGTTAAGCTGACCTTAACCTGGCGCCATAACCAACTCGGCCACCCTTCCGATGAGAAGGTCAGACAGATCATCAGTTTGAGTAGCCCCAGTTTGGCGGGGTTCTCCCGCTTGGTGGGGATTCTGGGAGGGGATTCTGTCGAGCGATTTACAGCAAGTCAGTGGTGGGCTTTTCCTCCCCTGTCGTGCCCGTCAACAGGGTGACGGGCGGCTAACCAGGGGTCGCTGTATTCACGTGGCTGGCCTCCGACTGAGACCGGTCCAGGTATCCGGCCTAAGTCGAACGGGCAGAGAAAGACATAATTTTGAGATCTAACGGTTTGCATGTTTGCTTTCTATTGCTCAGTTATTCTTATACGTTCTACAGGGCATTGAATGTGTGTACATAGACCCTGCCAAAGGAAATGATTCTAGAAAGCACCGAAGCTATCTGTCCTGGTATGAAAGTCTCTGGCACGTTCTAAAGAATGTGGGGGGGGGGCTAGAGCGATGACTCTTTGCACATATTGGATTACGGTACTAGCGCATTCGCTGTTGAGGGAATTTTTTTTTGGCCGCTGGACACTGGACAGGCCAGGGACAGAGAGACCTGGGCACCCCGCCGGTCCGCGCGGGTGTTTGGACGAGACGGGCACCATCTTACTCGGCAAAGTTGGGACGAAGACCGAAGGGCACCATCCTGCGACCGACGGGATGTGCGTGTGTGCGTGTGTGTGTTGAAACATGTTTGGATGTACGGCGATAATGCACATCAGAAGAACAGGCCGAACTAAAAGGGGAACTTACGTTGAAACCCTGAAACTTGAAACTTTATTCGGGCAATTTGTCCATCACAATGCGAGAACGATGAACGTCATTCCGAAAGAGGACAGCAGACACACAGAGAAAGAGTGAGAGACCAGGAATATGTTGTGCGACAATAGAAATATATGTCTTTATGATTACCCCCGTGTTGATGGCAGCCGACCCCTTTTATCTTCCAAAAGAGGTCGTCGACATGAAACCGCCAACAAGTGACGGGGGAACAGATAAGTATGGATGATATATGTGTAGCTATGGCGTTCGTGAGACTAGCTAGCCGTCCCTTTCATTTGGCATCATCGCGAAAACAGTCCCAGAAACCCAACACCGCCCCCCATGCACCTTTCGTTGTAAAAAAAAAAACAAGAAACAAAAACGGAAAACCAACGCCTCTCGTGAACACGCACTCTCTAATGCTTTGCGTGCGGAGTTTCTTCCCTTCCGATATGCCTGGCCGCCCCCTCGATGCTCGCTCAATCCCGTCGTCAAGACAATGATGGTGTCCGTATAACCGTTAAACAGACAACTCTAGTGAACAGAGACGGAAGACGTTTGGTTCCGTGCCCCGCCCCCCAGGAGTTGAACCGCTGTCGAAAGTGAAGAAAGTCGTGGAATGCTAGTCGGGCAAATGCACTATGTGTGCCTGCTACGCTTTGGTCCGCCGCCAAACATGTTCTTGTCTATACTGCTGAGGTCGAATATCTCTGCAAAGTTGATCTTGCGCTTCGAACCCGCGCCGCGACCGAGGTTGCTTCCTTGTCTTGATGCTGAGCGGGGCATGTTGGCGGGGTGTCGTGGTCTCGCTGTGCGCGTTGCGGGATTTGTGTTTGTTGATGATGCGTCGTGTGTCCGAGAGTCTGAGAGGTCCAGGTTCGCGAGGTTCAGGTAGGCGTCTTGTTGATGAGGTTGAGGCGGCCAGGGGTGAGATGATTGAAAGGTGAAAGAGTCTGCCGTCGGCACAGTGACTGATACGGGTTCAGGGCCCTCTTCCTCCTCTTCGTGGACAGGCTGCGGGATGCTAGGGGGCGCCGAGTCCGTCCTCAGCTGGCTCTCCCCTCGCAGGGACGCGAGTTGTGTGCCACTGCTCGTCCTGTTCAGCCCCGGAGAGGACACAGTCTCCGCCTTGTCCGCCTCGTCGTCGCTCTCGGCGTTCTGGGAGCCTGTATCTCTGGCGCCGTCCAGCCTCTCAGTTGCCCAGCTTCGGATCCTCCAGCCGTCGCCGTCGCCCAGCCCGATTCTCTCATTGTCGAGGAACGATAGCAGGTCGTCGAGGCAGTCTTGGTAGCCGTCCATGCGGGCCTTGGATTGGGCGGCCGCAGAAGTCTTGTAGAGTTTCGTCACGGAAAGCGCGGCGGCCTTAAAGGCGTCGATGAGTTGCTCGGGGGAGTCATTTTGCGTCGGCTGCTTGGCGGCCGCGGAGGCGCCCGGGAGGGAGGTGTTCAAACTTCGCATGGAGTCCATGATGTCGTATTGCCAATGACGAAATCGCTGAAAAGAATCAGCACCGAGTCGAAGGGTGGGAAAGATGAGTCCCGCACCTCTAGCGGTGAAATGTAAGGTAGTTGAGGTTGTCGGGTAAACAAATCTTGCAGTTGATGCCGGAGTGGGGTCCAAACGGGGTCCCCCAGCGAAGTTAAGTGTGTGGCGATAAGGTGTGATGTGGTGGTGGTAGTCCTCGAGTGCAGCTGCACTACGTAGCGAGGTTGTTCGGACGGGCTCCCTTGGGCCGCAAAAAGTGAAAGAAGGAAATGCCGAAGACTTGGTGATGGAGATAGTCAAGCAGGGCAGGCTATGATGAGAAGATGCAGTTGATTGACGGCGGAGTGAAGCACTGAGGTCAGCTCGTCTTCGCCGCAGAGCACATGACTGGACGGCGGTGCTAACCGACAGCCAACAGCAGCTTAACAGGCCCCAATTTACCTTGGATCTTAGGTGGCTTTGACGTTATCCCCTCCACCTATGGCCAGTGCGCTACCACTACGCAGTAGGTACTTCGTACCTAGTCTTGGCCGGCTGACCCAATCTTGGAGCGGGCGGTAGATCCTCCGACTCTTTCCCAAATTCCCATCCATTGCCGTACCCCTGGCTGGGCTTGGAGCGCCCGAGACGACACCGGATGTGGAAGGGTTCGGAGGCTGCCTTCTTCCGGAACCGAGCTCGGGCGGCGCTGAACGTACCGGTGCTGCTGCACTGATCGGGAATTGACACGGCGAAAACGCGCTAGTCCTGTTTGGAAATTGTCTTCTACAGCAGAGGGATCCCACCTTTCCTTCCATCATCTCTAAAAAACATCTACGGACCGTTCACCCTCGCGCAGCAACAAAGCATTCGTCCATTTTTCTGAATGCTCCGCGATCGTTTGCACTTCGAAACGACTCCGAATATTTGTACCACACCCACCCTTTTGGAGCGCGCTGTCAAATCTTCAAGAAACGCGTGTAAGTCGCGTAAAGTGATTTACAGCCGTCAAGATGGCTCCTCGATCTCGAGCTGCCGCGGTTGACACCGACGCGTCAATGTCTGACGCTGCGGATGCCCATCCCGTGGAAGAGATGGTAAGTTCTTGCCACTATGGATTATCGCGTCAGTGTGCTCCCTATGGAGCTCACATTGCGATTGAATCTTCTGGCCCTTTTGCTGACGTGCAGACAGGAAGTTGATGAGACACCCGACTACACCGACTCAGACACCAATGCAAACACCACTGCTAGCAGTGTTGTCGGAGAGCCCCTCGGAGATGGTCGTAGGAAGCGATCTGAGGCCAATCAGCTGCGTCGCAGCATCTTTGGCAAAAAGCACGACAGACTGGGCGAGTCAAAGGTATGAAAGGCGCAAACTATTCAATCTAATGAGCTCTCAACCATTCTTTGTGTGCTAATCCCCATTTGAAAATAGGAAGAAGACAGTATCCGCCGATTCCGATACCTGTTGGGTCTTACGGACCTCTTCCGTCACTTCATCGAGACGAACCCCAACCCTAAGATTCGCGAAATCATGACCGAGATCGATCGACAAAACGCCGAGGCATCAAAATCCAAGAAGAAGGGCTCCCGCCAAGGTGGTGCCAGTAACGAGCGAGTGCGCCGGACCGAAGCTGAGGAGGATGCAGAATTGCTCCGTGACGAGAAGCACGGTGGTTCCGCCGAGACGGTTTTCCGCGACTCGCCCGCTTTCGTTCAAGGTCAGATGAGAGACTACCAGGTCGCTGGCCTCAACTGGCTTATCTCTCTTCACGAGAACGGTATCTCTGGTATCCTCGCCGACGAGATGGGTCTCGGAAAGACTCTGCAAACAATTTCCTTCTTGGGCTACCTCAGACACATCATGGACATTACCGGACCGCACATTGTCATAGTACCCAAGTCGACTCTGGATAACTGGAAGCGAGAATTCGAGAGGTGGACTCCTGAGGTCAACGTGCTGGTGCTTCAGGGTGCCAAGGACGAACGCCAGGCGCTCATCAATGATCGCCTGGTCAACGAGGACTTTGATGTCTGCATCACGAGTTACGAGATGGTTCTGCGCGAGAAGAATCACCTGAAGAAGTTTGCATGGGAGTACATCATCATCGACGAGGCGCATCGTATCAAGAACGAAGAATCATCCTTGGCGCAGGTCATCCGTCTCTTCAACTCCCGAAACCGACTCCTCATTACCGGCACACCTCTTCAGAACAACCTGCACGAGTTGTGGGCTCTGCTCAACTTCTTGTTGCCCGACGTCTTCGGTGACTCCGAGGCCTTCGATCAGTGGTTCTCTGGTCGAGAACAGGACCAGGACACCGTCGTTCAGCAGCTCCACCGTGTTCTCAGACCATTCCTGCTTCGACGAGTCAAGGCCGACGTGGAGAAGAGCTTGCTGCCGAAGAAGGAGGTCAACGTCTACCTTGGCATGTCAGACATGCAGATCAAGTGGTATCAGAAGATTCTCGAGAAGGACATTGACGCTGTCAACGGCGCCAACGGCAAGCGGGAGTCGAAGACCAGACTGCTGAACATTGTGATGCAGCTGCGCAAGTGCTGCAACCACCCCTACCTGTTTGAGGGTGCTGAGCCTGGACCGCCCTACACCACTGACGAGCACCTCGTTTACAATGCTGGAAAGATGGCTGTTCTCGACAAGCTCTTAGCCAGAATGCAGAAGCAGGGAAGCAGAGTTCTCATCTTCTCACAAATGAGTCGTCTCCTGGATATCCTTGAGGACTACTGTGTGTTCAGAGAGTACAAGTACTGCCGTATCGACGGCGGAACAGCCCACGAGGATCGTATCGCTGCCATTGACGAGTACAACAAGCCCGGTTCTGAGAAGTTCATCTTCCTGCTTACGACCAGAGCTGGTGGCTTGGGTATCAATCTCACCACTGCTGATATTGTCGTTCTCTACGACAGCGATTGGAACCCTCAGGCCGATTTGCAGGCCATGGATCGAGCTCATCGTATCGGTCAAACCAAGCAAGTCGTGGTGTACCGTTTTGTGACGGACAATGCCATCGAAGAAAAGGTTCTGGAAAGAGCGGCGCAGAAGCTGCGTCTCGATCAGCTGGTCATCCAGCAAGGCCGCGCTCAAGTCGCAGCAAAGGGTGCCAACAACAAGGACGAGCTTCTCTCCATGATTCAGCATGGCGCCGAGAAGGTATTCCAGAGCAAGAGTGCCGGTGGCACACTGGCCTCTAAGGGTACCGATTTGGACGACGACGATATTGACAAGATTCTTTCTTCTGGTGAATCAAGAACAAAGGAGCTCAATGCCAAGTACGAGAAGCTTGGAATCGACGACTTGCAGAACTTCACATCCGAGTCTGCCTACACCTGGAATGGTGAAGATTTCAAGACGAACAAGAAGGAAATTGGCATGAACTGGATCAACCCCGCCAAGCGTGAGCGAAAGGAGCAGTCCTATTCCATGGACAAGTATTTCCGGCAGGCCATGTACCCCCCCAAGGAGAAGGACACAAAGCCCAAGGCACCCAGAGCTCCGAAGCAAGTGCCTGTCCACGACTATCAATTCTACCCGCCAAGATTGCGCGACCTTCAGGACCGAGAGACTGCTTACTACCGCAAGGAGATTGGGTACAAGGTGCCGCTGTCTGACGGTGACGACGAGAACCTTGATGAGCGCGAGGCGGAGCGAGCCTTGGATCAACAGGAGATCGACGAGGCTACCCCTCTCAACGAGGAGGAGCTGGAAGAGAAGCAGCGTTTGTCGCATCAAGGCTTCGGAGAGTGGAACAGACGTGACTTCCAACAATTCATCAACGCCTCGGGCCGCTACGGTCGCAACGACTACGCAAACATTGCCGAAGACATTGACAACAAGACTGCATCTGAAGTCAAGCAGTATGCCAAGGTTTTCTGGCAGCGGTACACGGAAATTGCCGACTACAACAAGTACATCAAGGTGATTGAAGACGGCGAGGAGCGTATGCGCAAGATTGAGCATCAGAGGAAGCTGCTCCGCAAGAAGATGTCGCAATACCGCGTTCCCCTGCAGCAGCTTAAGATCAACTACTCCGTCTCTACCACCAACAAGAAAGTATACACCGAGGAGGAAGATCGATTCCTGCTGGTCCTACTCGATAAGTACGGCATCGACTCTGCTGGACTATACGAGAAGATGCGCGACGACATTGCGGAGAGCCCTTTGTTCCGATTCGACTGGTTCTTCCTTAGCAGGACGCCGGTCGAGCTGAGCCGTCGCTGCACCACCCTGCTCACCACCATTGTCAAGGAGTTTGAGGATGTTCACCCGACCAAGGGTGCCAATGGCGTCAACGGCAAGCTCAAGAGAGAGGCCGAGGATGAGGAGAATGACGAGGATAGCATTCTCGGCATGGCCCCTTCGAAGAAGAAGACCAAGAACGGCGTCAAGGTGAGAGCTAGAATGGACTAATGCGTGAACTCGGCTAACCAGACATGCAGAATAAGGCGCTCGACAACGTAAAGTCGGAAGTTGGAAGCAAGAACACATCCGCCGCACCTTCAAGAGCATCGAGTGTCGCCTCGAACAAGTCTGCCACTAACGCCAAGAGCAAAACCAAGGGCAAGAAGAAATAAAGGTTGGCGAGGGAGGCTACATGAGCAAGTTCAAAATTGGTCTTTGGGTTGGGGATAATGGCTTTTTATGGCAGTGGCTATGATAGATGGAGGCGTTTGGTCAGGCATAACCTTTGGTCGGTTATCTGGTAAGGGACCCTCTTTGTATGACTTTCGCAGTAGAGGGAAACGTGCCGTCTAGTGTTGGGCATCATTAGTTCGGACAAGACGAGAATAAAATGCAATCAAAAATAACTTTTTTCCAATAATGGGATGTATGAACTAGAGGGAGCAATAGCTCTGGTACCATATCAGCTAAGCAGGGCCTCATGACCTACTCTTTGTTAAGGTATCGTCATTGTAGACTTTCCGGCTCCTTGGGGTCCATACCCTGTGGTTACAGGACAGATCTAAGCCTTGTCCAGGTGATGGCTTTCTTCATCAGTGTCGTCCTCTTCTCTCCCATTGCCCAGTCTCTTGCTGTATACCTTTTGCCCTGGTTCGTCCCTCGACGGTCCCGATGTCACCAGTCTCAGTTCACCATGACCAATCTAACACCCGATCCAGCATCTAAGTACCAGTATCTAAGTACTAGCATCTACGACGATTTTTTACTTCTCGTAAACCGTCCTCGCCGTCACCGCAGATGTCAGCTAGTAGAACTGGGCGCTCATTCTCACGACATCATACACTCAACGCTGCCAGCACGTGAGCCTCTTGGAGGGGGGTGCAGAAGACTCCTGCCGGCCAAGGGCGAGTCAGAGGTGGGTAGCGGACAGAGTGGGCTCTGATGGAGGCCGTCGTGAACTTCGTACATTGTACTTTGCGGCAGAGGCTGGTGGACATGAGAGGGAGATGGCGGGGGGGGGGGGGGGGGTTGTTCAGTGGATGTCTTGAGCTCGTGGCTCTTCTTTATTGTTTCGAGCATGAGCGCAGGTACTCGTCGCAGTACGGCCAAAACTGGGTTTCTGAAGAAAGTGTTTCCTGGTCTATCACCTTTTATTAGAGAGCGGATACACTTGAAACGGCCATGTTCGCATTATTGTTTAATATGATGGCCAGCAATTGGAATTCGGGGACATTAAAATTGGTCATGGCTGGTGTAAGTGAGAATGCTTTGTGGATGCACCGGGGACATCACCAGTGACGAATCTTTTAGCAGGCCTTCAGGGACGATCTCAATGTGTAGCAGCAGTGTCCTTCATTAACGTAGTCAGTCGTATACGTTGTTGGTTGGGAAGGGAATATTGTCATGACTGCTACTTTCCGGAACTACTTGTTCCGTGCACCTAGATGAGTGAGGCAGTATTCGGGCGTTGGGTGAAAATAGAAGTGAAACAAACATGTGTATTACTACTATATGGTTTATGTGATTTAACGCCCATTAACAAATGCTGAATAGTCTTTGAAGTCTCTATGTAGGAGGCAACGGCAAAAAGACTTGCAGTATTTAGGCGTCGGTTGCCGTAGACCAAAAAACGAAAAAAGAATGAGACGCGATCCGTGGGACTCGAACCCACAGCCTTCCGATTAAAAGTCGGACGCTCTGACCAAATTGAGCTAGGAAAGCGACGACTTTTGTTGAGTTTTTGGAGCTATTTGGCTCACTATGTACCCTCTGCATACGTGGGGTCGCCGAACGTACCACATCAGTTTCCGACCCACGCCAAGTGAGCCCCGTCCTACTCCAGCTTTATGGGCTAATTAAGTAGATTGAAGAAATTCTTTGTTCAATATCTTTCAGAGAAACTGAACCCAGTTAATTTAAGGTTGTGCAGACGATCTTTGGGTTTCTGATGCAGATGGCTGGACGCCAGATGTGCCTGTTACACACAACGTATTAGTACGCATCCCGTGAGGACTACCCAAGTGATCAATCATATGCATCAGCTCAAATCGAATTTTGTGCCTATGGCTTTACTCGTCGTGAGTGATTCATCACAATTCTAGGCAATTGCAATACTTGCAGAATGTCTAGAGCATCCCCAGACCACAGCCGCGTCAGTCTGTGAGTGGTTGGCTGGCGTAAGATGGACCTGGAACGTCATTCCTGCCCCGCAGTAGCAACAATAGCACTAGCACTGCCCCTCCATCCCGGATCGACATCCCAGCTCCAGGTCTAGGTTCCCACTCGACACTGTCGACCGCCATTGTGGTGCCTGGCTAGAAAGCTGAACCCCGACGCAACTCAGCAACTCAGCACTCTCCAAGACTCTTGATTGTTTCATCCTCTTTGCTCGGAGCTTTAGGGACTTCTATTCGCATTGCATACCAGCGTGTTTGGAGTTCACACATCATGTCTGTCACCATCGAAAAGATCTTGGCTGCTTCGCCCGCTACTCAGCGTGGCCAGCCGACACAGCTCTCCACAGACAACAAAGGAGAGCGCATTGCCTACGCTGTTAGTCCCAACTGCACCTCTCGAAGAACAATGCCTCAGCTAACAATGCATTCCCGCAGGCCGGCAAATCCATCTTCCTCCGATCCATCGATAATCCTTCCGTCTGCAAGCAATACACCGGCCACACGGCTGCAACGAGCGTCGCACGGTTCTCCCCCAGCGGCTTCTACGTCGCCAGTGGAGATGTGTCTGGATCTGTGAGAGTCTGGGACGCTGTCGAGGCCGAGAACACAAAGGGTACGGCATAATACCTGCACACCACAGTCGGCTATCTCTCGTGGTCGGTACTGATTACATTGCTAGGCGAATACCACATCATCTCGGGGCGCATCAACGACATTGGCTGGGACGGCGACTCCCAGCGCATCATCGCTGTGGGCGACGGCAAAGAGCGCTTCGGCCACTGCATCACGGCCGACAGCGGCAACTCGGTCGGAGAGATCAGTGGTCACTCCAAGGTCGTCAACTCAGTCGCAGTGCGGCAACAGCGTCCGCTGCGGGCAGCGACCGTCTCTGATGATAGCTCCCTATGCTTCTTGCACGGCGCGCCCTTCAAGTTCAACTCGAAGAACGCCAACGCCCACAAGGGCTTCGTCTTTGGAACGGCCTTCTCGCCCGATGGGAGCCAGCTCGTAACAGTCGGCGCTGACAGACGCATTCAGCTCTACGACGGAAAGACGGGCGAACCTACGAAGTCCATTGGCGAGGGAGAGCACACTGGCAGCATATTTGCCGTTTCATGGTCTCAGGACGGCACCAAGTTTGTTACTGCGAGCGCGGACCAGTCCGTCAAGCTCTGGGATGTGGAGTCAGGCAAGGCTACACAGACGTGGAAGTTTGGCGACGGTGTCAGCATCGGCGACCAGCAAGTTGGCGTTGTCTTCCCCCACGGCAGGACGGACGGCTTGATCATCAGCTTGAACCTGAACGGCGATTTGATCTACCTGAACGAGGGTAGTGACAAGCCCAGCAAGATCGTCCAGGGCCACAACAAGAGCATCACGGCTTTGGGCGCTTCGTCGGACGGTAAGGGCCAGACGCTTTGGAGTGGTAGCTTCGACGGGCGCGTCTGCCAGTGGGATGTCGCCACTGGCACTGGCTCGGTGGTTGACGGACAAGCACACACAAATCAAGTCACCCAGTTCAGCGCCGAGGCGGGACAGACGTACAGTGTCGGATGGGACGACCACTTGCGGATAGTAGACGAGTCAGCCAACACGTTCGCGGGCGAGGCCCTTAAGCTTGCTGCCCAGCCCAAGGGCGTGGCGGCCACGGATGGAAAGGTGTACGTTGCCACCATCGAGGGTGTTGATGTCTACCAGAAGGGTCAACTTCTCTCCGAGAACCGCCTCGGACTTACTCCCGGTGCTGTGGCCGCCTACGGCTCGACAGTGGTTGTTGGATCAGGCAACTCCGTCAAGATCTACACTGCGGACAGGTCAGGCAAGCTCTCGGAGACGAAGTCGGTTGACAAGTCGACGGCTTTGATTTCCTGCTTGTCGTTCTCCAAGGACGGCCAGTACCTCGCCGCAGGCAACCAGATCGGCAAGATCGTCGCCTACAAGACTTCCGACTGGGAGGTTGCGACGGACCGTTGGTCGGCGCACACGGCGAGGGTTACGTGCATCAGCTGGAACGACGCGGCGACGCACGCCGTCTCTGGAGCTCTGGATACCAACGTGTGCGTGTGGAGCCTGGCCAAGCCTGGAAGCCGTGTCAAGGCTCTCAACGCTCACAAGGATGGTGTCAACGGCGTTGCGTGGGTTGAGGGTGGTAGCAAGGTTGCGAGTGCCGGAGGCGATGCCGCGATCAAGGTTTGGACCGTGGCTGGACTGCAATAACTTGTCTTGATGGACAATTTTGTAGATGTTTTCAATAGGTGATGGATGAATAAATGAAAAGCGACATGATGTTATCTCGACGATGAACGCCATTAAAATTTGGGGGTATCTCTCATGTCTAAGGGGCAGGCTCGTTGCTCCAGTGTCCATTCTATGTACTCTACTTCGACCTTTCTCTTTCCTACAACCTCAGAGTATTCGTCAACGTCATCTCTTCCTCAATCTTGTCCAACGATGGATTTTCAGGGAACTCAAAGGGCTTCCAGTGTCGATAAGACTCCTAGCCCATCGTCATCTGTGCCACCTCCTCCCGCTGAACCTCCTCTCCAACACCGCCGCTGTCACTCACTTGAGACCTCTTAGGCGCCGCCGAAGCAGCAGGACCAGGTTCGTCAGAGTAACGGTTCATAAGCGCGCTGCTGACCTGCCAGACATCCACATCCACGGGGTCCGCTCCTGTCGTCGCAACGTGGTGAGGCCGGTACTGCTGCTCCGTCTTATCGAGCTGCAGGGCCAGCTGCTCCAGGGCCCACACGATTTCGCCGAGGCGGCCCCAGATCCCGTAGCCCTGGCGCTGGATCTCTTCGGCGAGCTCGACCTGGTGGTTGTCCTTTAGGGTTGGGTTGGGGACCACGATGAGGGGGACGCTGACGCGCATTCCGTCGAGGATGGTTCCCGTGCCTGGGGATATCTTAAATCAGCTTACACACACATACATATATAGAAATAGGAAAAACAAAGACATTCAACAGCATGAAGCAAAAACGTGATGGACGCCCCTCAGCTTACCTGCATGACAGATGACCACACCTGCCTCACGCACGCCCGCCTGCGCTCGACACTTGATCATCTCGGTAGTCAAATCGTCGACAAAGTCAAACGCGGTGATTTCGATTCCAGGGTACTGGTTCAGAATCGGAGGTAGAATCTGGCGGGAGAAGTCTGCGTAGTCCTTGCCGCATTGGAGTGTGAGGTGCGTGTAGCGGTTCGAGGTGACATGGTCCAGGAACGCGGTGGAGAGGACCTCGGTCAGGAGCTGGGTGAAGCGGGCTGTTGCGCCAACTGTTACGAGGCAGTGGCACGCAAGGGGCGCGTTTGGCTTTGAGGCCATGATGTGTGTTGTGTCAACACTCCGTAGAGTGCGGGTTGGAGATGCAACCTCGTGGTGAAGTTGGTTTATGTTTGTGAAGAGACAGTCTCGATGAGTGGTGGTTGTAAAGTTGTGTTGAAGCTCTCACGGAAAGTCATTTTCTCAGGGCAGGCACTGGTTGGGTGACAATCGACCGCTGTGGCACAGCCGATTGGTTGCGGGACGGGCTGGCAGATCGGGTCTCGCGGCGGCTGCTGGCCCCTAAGAAGGCGGGATTCCAGCGATCGACGCCCTGGCCAGGAAGCTAGGGCCCCCCTTCTTTGGCCTCCCGTCTGGCTGGAAACATGGGGGCTCCAGCACCCTTAATCTAACGGGAACCAAGTCTAGCTCACATCGTTCGCCTACTTCTACTTCTACTTCAACTTCACGCGTTCCCTTTTCATCATGAGGCATTCATCTATATTCATCTATGGGGTATCTATCTACCTGTGCTCCTACTATGAACCATTCTGCTTCGTCTCTACCTGCGTGTATTGACCATCTGCATTTGGAAATCTCCAAAATGGCTCAACACCCATCTCTTGGAATCTCTTCTTCTCGTACACCTTGGTCACCGCCCAGCTGCTCACAAACATGACCACTACGATGCCAATTATACATACGCCAGCGATGAGTGGCGCCAGAATCGAAAAGACCGTGAAGCCGTAACTCACACTCTGAAACACGCTGTCGCCAACAAGTCTGTCAGTGGCTAAGCCAACCTGCATGGCCGTTAGGACGATGACAACATAACCGAGGATCGCCGCCAATGTTGCAAAGTTATCCCGGATCAAGTCTTCGTACACGGCGTGGGAGACAACCTTGGAATACCCCCGGAGCAGGTATCCCAGGCGGATGCGGTAAATCTTGTTCAGCCGACTGAGACGAAGCTCGCCGTACCAGTACCGCGGGTTGACGGACGCATAACAATGGTTCTGCGCGATCTGGGCCGATACTGCCTTCCACTGGTACCAGTTCATCCGATCCGGGACCAGGCCTCTTTCGACGGCTATGCGGAAGTCGCTCTCGTATGCGATGAGGGCTGTGTAAGTGAAGAGGAAACCGAGCGCGCAGGCGACGAGCTGCTGCTTCCGCGGAACAGACTGTTTGTCCGAGGCTTCGGCCAAGTTGGCGGCCCAGAAGTCTGGGCTCAGCAGCCACCGTGGTATCGGCTTGATGAAGATTCGGTTCTTGGCCCAGACGAGATGAAGTTCGGGGTTCTCTGTGATGTGGATCTCGCGCGATATCGCCTGGTAGTGGAGGGGCCGAGGTGGCATTGGACGGCCGCAGATCCAGAGGAGATCCTGGATGTCGTTGAGTCGTCGGACAAGCAACTCTCGTTCCAAAAAGTCAATGTCGTCGGCCTGCGGCACGGTGATGTGATCGTGCTTGGTTCGGCTCGTTGCCGGTAGCAGATCGCTCCAGTCTCTTGGCTCCTGCACTGTCACTGCGGGATTGACGGCGTCATCGAGCACCCGGACGGTAAAGGGCACAGACGACTTCTCCATGGTGCGACTCGAGAAGCTTGACATGTGGACGATGAATTTCGCTTTGTGCTGGTCTTCGGCGTTGTCTGTTCCCACAATTTTCGGTCCCGACGCTCTCCTCTGATCTTGGAGAGATGTGATATCACGGTCCTCCGAGGCGCAGTCTGCGCAGTCTATCAGACCGTCACTGTCGGGAAGCGGGCTGTTGGTGACAGGCCTTTGTTGCTTGCAGAAGCGCCAGCAATGGAAACGACTCCAACGGTGGTAAAAGCCCACCCGAAAATAGCCAACGGCGTGATTAAGAACCTTTCCAACAAGCCCGATTCGGCTGGTAGAAAGAGTAGGCAACGAGATTCCATGCGTCCCAACAGTGGCGGTCCCCTGTCATTTTAAGATGACTTGATTGCCCAGAGCCCTCCAGCCTGCAGCCTGCAGCAAGCAAACCCGTGTTGAGATTCCGAATACAGACGAACCCGAACCCGCTACTGCAGCGTGAGACCAAATGCTTACCTGTGGGACAGCGCTACAAAATTAGAGGTGGTTTTGGTTCAGCTGAAAGACACTATTGGCGCAGTCGGACGATTGTTGGCATCGCAGGATTACAATGCATGGGGGTGGCTGACACCGCTAAGGTCGTTTCGGGCCGCCCAGTTGCAGGGAAGGGGGCTTATTAACATTTTGGACCCAGCGTCGGCAGCTGTCAGGCTATGCTTATTAGTTACGCCGGTGCCTAGCTCCGTGGCCAGTTCGTATTCAAAGCTTGTTGATCCCCAGTTTCTCGGAAGTCGCGGTTGTTCGTTTTGTCAAGTTCCGTTTCGTTGTGTAAGTTTCTTCCGCAGCGAGTGGCCACCAACATCATGTCTATCCGCCGCGCAGGAACGAAAAGGGTGCCTCACGGCGCTCCTGGGGCCCCGAAACCCAAGACGACGTATCAGGCGGTTCAGCAGGGCTTCAGGGAGTTGTACAATCCTCAGAAAGAGACCGGTTCTGCCATTGATGTTGAGTACGTCTGTCGTTCTGCTTGGTTGTGAAGTTCAGTGGTATCACGAAGGTCTAACACACCCGGTAGTGTCGTCTTTGTGCCCGGACTAGGTGCTCACCCGGAGGAAAGTTGGAAGTCCGAGGCCGGGTTCAACTGGGCAACCGGAATCTATGATGGCGTTACGAAGAGCTCATCTGAATCTGCCAGCAAAAAGGATGGCTTGGCGAGGGACTTCCCCAAAGCACGCATCCTCTTGTACCAGTATGAATCAGCATGGGTTGGGGATCTCAAAGTCAAGACTTTCTTGAGAGACATTGCCAAATCAATGTTGGAAGGGCTGCAGGCAAATCGTGAGGTAGGTTGATTGTGTTGAATTTTGAACCGTGGGGTCGGTCTAATCTGAGAGTAGAAAATCAGAGATCGCCCAATTGTCTTCATTGGGCACAGTATGGGAGGCTTGGTTATTGCAAAGGTAAGCACGCGGCTTTGAAATCAAGTGGTGCAGAGCGACGAAGCTTACAAACATCAAGGCTATCACACTCGCAGCAGAAACGTATAGGGAAATCTTCCCAAGGCTGTTTGAGTGTATCGCTGGATGCGCCTTCTTCGGAACGCCCTTTGGCGGTGCCCAAGTCGCCGCTGTCGCCTCCATGTTGGGTGATGTAGGCGAACACCTCGGGTATACCAAGTCGTCGGCGTTGGTGAAAATGATGACACCCGGAGACGAGAGTCTGAACGAGCTCCGAGGCGACTTCCTGCGGTTGGCTCTCAAACTAAGCCCAGCCGTCCAGCTCTTCTGCTTCTACGAGAATCACCCAACCGACTTTACCCAAACAAAGTTGGGCCCGACCATGTCGAAAATCGCAAAGGCAGTTGTTCCCAAGAAGCTGCAAGACTTCGTCTCAAGAGAATCGGCGACATTACCTGGAATCGAGGAGATGGGTCTAGCGGCCAACCATCGAGATCTTGTCAAATTCAGCGACTTCAAGGATTCCCGGTATCAGCTTGTCAGGGAGCCCCTGAAGAGACTCATTCACGGCGCCAATCTTGTGGCCAAGAACCGACTAAACTCGACTCGTGGCATCGAGCCAGAGGTTGTCAACAAGGTCATGGAGTTGCTGAACGGCGGTCAAGTTTCAAAGAAGCGCAAGATGCTTTCGCCCCAGTTCCCACCATCAATCTGGATTCCCAAGGCCGAGTCGTACCTGGAGTGGTTGAAAGAGGACCATGATTCAGGGAGCGCGACGCAGAAGCACAGAGGACAGGCGCTGTACGTCCGCGGTCCCGAGGGAAGGGGAAAGACACGAGCGACTATGGCGGCCCTCCAGGACATCGACAACATCATACAAGCCGACGAAAAGGTGAGCCACGGGCGAGGACCCGCCCTCGTTGCCTACTTCTTCTGCGACCCCTCTTCAGACTTTTTGACTGCCGAAGACTTGCTCAAGTCGTTGGTGCGGCAGCTCATCGGCCAACAAGCCACCTTGTCTGTGTATGCGAAGCACTTTGTGAAGAAGGAAGATTCGTCAAAGACGTCGGCGAACCTCACGGTGGAGAACCTGTGGCAGACTCTTCAGGATATCCTTACGGACGAATTTATTGGCCGCAGAGTGTACTTCGTCATCAACAACCTGCATGTTCTGCCTGAAGATGCCGAGTCAACTGTCAAGTTGATGCGGTTTCTCAACGCCGAGCTGCAAGAACTCAAGGCCGAGGATGACAAGCGAGTACCTACCAGATGGTTCCTCACAAGCAGAGAGGTCCACCATGTGGAAGACTCGTTAAAGGTGGACGGAATCCAGCTCATCGATCTCGAGGACGACAAGTACTGCGACCAGGTTCAGCGGGAGCTGCGCAAGGCGGCACAGGAAAAGGTTCAGGAACTCGGCAGCTCGAAGAAGTATAACAAGGCGCTCACATACTATGCGAGCAGTCTGATTGGGAAGAGGGCATCCAACAGTCAATGGATCAAGCTTTCCTGCATGCAGCTCGCGGAGCTTCCTGACGCAGAAAGTGACCTCAAGATTAGACACATGCTTGAGGGTATGCCCCAGGAACTCAAAGCTCTCCTAAACGCTGCGTGGGCGCAGATTTTCCACTCGAACGAAAAGGAGACCGACAAGATCAAGGAGCTGCTGCGAACACTCGTCTTGACATTTGAAGAGCCCACTGAGAATGAGCTCGTTGTCTTGGCAGGGTTCCCTGCCACGGAGGCGGGAAAATCTGAGCTCCAAGACCTGGTGAAGAAGTGCAGGCCGTTGTTGACGGTGAAGAGGAGCGGCAAGTCTGAAAACACCATCGGTTTCATGGACAGAGTCGTCAAGGAGCATCTTCTCGAAAAGGAGACGTCCAGGAAGACTCTGGGCATGTCGAACGACGAAAGCAAATGGCAGCAGGGCATCATTGCGCTCCGGTGCTTGGCGCACATCAAGGATGCGTTTGACTTCCCCGAGGAAGAGAAGCCTGTAATGGAGGCTCAGGAAGGGAACGAAGAGGCAGAGACACAGTCTGCCAAGGACGAGGACGAGGAGAGTGAAGGATCCGAAGCGGATGGCCAGGAAAGCGTCGCCGCTGATTCTGATCAAGAGGAATCGGACAGCGACACAGACTGGGACGACGACGAATCCACCTACGGCTACCAGCAAGACGACGACGAGGCCGAAGAGGCGAGAATACTGGCCGAGAAGGTGCTGCCTTATCCCGTCAAGCACTGGCTGCACCACGCCAGCAGGGCCACGTTGGAGATTGCGGAGGATCTCAGCGAGGATGACTTTTGGAAGACAGATTCTTTGATCCGATACCGGTGGCTCGTCGTCTACATGTCCATGACGAAAGTGCTCGATGGGTTCGAACCCAAGGAGTTGACTGCTTTGCATATCGCAGCTGCTGTCGGATTCAAGCAGCTTGTCTCCGCGCTTATTCAGAATGGTCATGAGGACGAGATCAACAAGAGAGATAGTCTTGTCAATACTCCTGTAAGGCGAAATTCCTTCCTAATCTTGAGCCATCGCCAGGTCGCATTTGTTGGCTTGTTACTAACGTCCCTGGCAGCTTCATTTCGCCGCCTATATCGGTAGACCAAACATCGTGGACGAACTTCTCAAGAGAGGTGCCAGTATCGACGATGGTATCGACATTGGCGAACAGACCCCGCTACACATGGCGGCATTTGCTGGCCATGTCAAAGTGATGGACAAGCTCATAAAGAGGGGCGCAAATGCCAACGCCATCGCGAGCGATGTCGGCCCAGTCATGAACGCCGCCATCTCTTCCGGTAGTCCAGACGCTGTCAAGCTACTCGTCGAGAAGCAGGTTTCGCTGGCCGTCGAGGACGATAACATCGACTCGCCTCTGGCGCTGGCAGGTCTCCATGCAGACCTGTCCATGTTTGAATATCTCACGAAAACGTACGCTGATAAGCTCCCGGCCAAGGAGTTTGACAAGGCCTTCATCAAGGCTGCTGTCTCTGGCAGAGTGGACGTGTTCAACAAGTTGCTGACTTACTCCCACCCCCAAGAATGCTTCCAGACTGCGTTGAAGGTGGCGGCAGAGGAGGAGAACTGGGAGATTGTCATGATACTTCTGGAGCAGCGCAGAGGCCTCGACTGCAACGATCTTTTCCTTGGTGCGGCGACCACGGCGGAGCATCAGGACAAGGTATTGGAGGCCGTCTGGAAATACACCAATGGAAACATTATGCCGGAGACTCTTAACGAGAGTCTGTATGAGGCTACTGATCTCGAGAAAGAGTCAACAGTCAGGTTGCTGATTGATGACTTCAAAGTCAACCCTAACGCAACTGGAGAATAGTAGGCTACCTAACCTACTGCATCACTACGAGGACCAAACTAACAACGTTCAGTTACGGGACTGCCTTGACTGCTGCAGCATACGATGGCACCCTTGACATTGTCAGGTTGCTCCTGGATAGGGGTGCGGATGTCGACGCGCCCAACGGATGGGCTATCCAGGCTGCTGCTGCGGAGGGCCACTACGACGTGGTAAAGGAGCTTCTCGACCGAGGAGCTGACGTCAATGATCTCACCACGAACGAGAACTTCCCACAAGGAACGGCACTCCAGGTAGCTTGCGAATCGGGCAAGGTGGAAATTGTCACACTCCTGCTCGAGCGTGGCGCCAACCCTGACCTCGGCACTGGAGAAGATACCTGCCCGATCATCGCCGCTGCCATGAAAGGAGAGCAGGCAATTCTCGAGCTCCTTGTCAAAGCCAAGGCTGAAGTCAACGTCTTTGGAGGTTGTGACAATTCGACAGTCTTGATCTACGCCGTTGTCAACCTCCCGGTCGAGTCACTGCGCGTTCTTGTGGATGCGGGCGCCGACGTCAACCTGACTGACCAGGAAGCTGATACAGCCTTGATCATGGCTGCCCGAGAGGGAGATGCGGACAGCGTCAAGTTCCTCTTGGACAATGGTGCCGACATCTTCCACGTCAACGAAGACAACGAGAATGCACTTCAATCAGCCATACAATACGGAGATGACGAGGACTGCACAGCTGTTCTTGTTGGGCGTGTGTCGGAACTGATGGCGGCTTTGAGCAAGGCCATGAAGAATGGTAACACGGCCGTGACCGAGGTCGTTCGTAGCACTGCTGTTGCACACCAGGGTCTCGACTACGATGACGAGGACGCAAAATCATCACAGAGTCAAGATGACAAGCAGCCAACGAGCTCCGAGGACCGAGGCGACGTCTTTGACGAAGACAACGACAAGGGCAGCGACGAAGACACCCCGCGGACAGAGTCGTTCCCCAACAGCGCCAAGAGAGTCGACGACGGAGAATCCGAGGAGAGCGCTTACCGGCCCGTGAGAGAGCTGTCCGAAGAGCTCGAGGCCGCCCTCGTCACGCAGGTCTCGCTGCTTCAAGGCTTCACCTCCCCACCGCCCCGGCCAGAGAAGGTACCGGAGCGGGAGCAGCCGGTGGAGATGCCGCCGACAACGATTGCGGAATTGCCCTCTCAGCGCAGATATTCCCAGCAAGTGCAGATGGAGGAGCAATTGGGCTACTATGAATTCGACCAGCTTACCCGCATGGACTCCTACTCTAAGCCTGCCTTTTTCAAGCAACCGACGCTGCAGTGGGCCACGCAAGCCGAGAGTCTGCCCGCCGCCAGCGAACCGCTCCTCTCTCCAGGCCAGGCCCCTATCCGACGGAAACCGGCGCCCAGCACGACGTTCGGCGCCTCGTACACCCAGAACGCCTCGCCCGCGCCGTCAAACGTGTCAAACAGCCAGTTCTCACCGCCGGCACCGTCAGCCGCGCTCCGTAGGGCGAGTATGGACCAGCACACCTCATACCAGAACTCGACTTCGTACCCCGGAGCACCTGCGTACCAGGGAGGCGCGGGATACGCCGCCAGCCAGACGCACCTTGCTTCTTCGCAGCCTTCCGCGGCTAACCTTGGTCGGATGTCGGTGGATTACCACGCACCCTACGACCCGTCGTCGTTTGACAGGCCGACGCACAGCCCTGGGACGACGCCGCCGCAGAAGACGCAGCCGTTCCCGGACTTGCCGTTCCAGCCGCCGGGCGCGTGGCAGAATAGCCCGCCGCTCGCGGGAAGTCAACAGCAGCAGTCGTATTTTGGTCAGATGAGTGGGTCGCCGCCTCAGCAGCAGCAACAACAGGAATGGGTTGGTCAGGATGGAAGGTGAGTTTTCTCAATTTGGGGTTTTCAATGGGTGTGGTGAAGCTAACGTTTGCGCAGCAGGCCTGATGTGAAAGCCCATCGCTCCTCTTTCCTGGGGATGAAGAACACGTTGGATAAGGCGAAACAGTTTAGCACTGGGATCATGAACCGGAGACCGTCCGGGTTTTGAGTGACGCCATGGAGTTGAAGGGATAATCTAGTGGTGTGATGTTGTTTGATACGCAAGGAGTTAATGATACCATAATGAAACTTTACTATTTAATTACAATTATCAATGTGTTATCCACGTTCTCAAACACGAGACAGACTCTAGGACATGTTGATCTATCTACGAAGGAAGTAGAGGATTCTAAATATAGCAATGACGTTTAGGACTGGCTGTTTTTAACAATATTAAAACCGAGTATACAGTCATTGGTGGATATGCGTTGTTTCCTCCCAGTAGCAAGGTCAGAATGCGTTGATTTTGTGTTTGAATACCCTAGCTTCACCCATTGGGGGCTCTCCATGAAGCCTTTTTCTGAAATTATTGGATGTTCTTACGAAGTATACTCAGATCATCCCGCCTAACAAGTTGATCGGGGGCCAATCGTCGAACACACTTCAAAAGTGTACTTGGAAGGCCGGGAAAGCCAAAGGAGAAATTACAGCAAAAAGCAAAAGGCAGAGTCAGGCTCGAAACTTTTTACTTCAGCGAAGTTAAGCATGTTCAGGGAGACGTGGTATAACCCACTCGAACACCCCGAGCACTTTCCCTTCAACTCATGATTATTGTGAACGGGTTTCGACTTATACTGGCTGTGGCGTTGACGATAGCACATGGACCCACATACATGTGGCTGAAGGATGTGGATGTGGATGTGGCTGGAGCTCGATCCAAAAATTTCCGGGGACAATTCCCAACTGGCCATCTTAGCAGAGCGCGATCAATTCCACGAAAACCAGCATTGCCCTCGGCCAATGTAAACTGGAACCACGCCCAACATGGCAGCAACAGGGCAAGCATTCCGACTCTGCGCCCGCAGCAGTCGTCGGATACCAACAACGCCGCGCATCGCTGCATCCCACCCGACGACGACGACGAAGACGACGACGACTCAGCAGACCCAGAGACGAGCCTTTACCGCCAGCACCACGCAACGAGCACCGGGATTCGGCGAAGATCGTGACGAAGCCGTCGAGGAGATGGTGGTGCGCCTGAAGCCCGAGGACGTGAAGAAGCTCGAGAGGCTCCAGAAGAACGAACCCGAGTTCCAGCAGATGTCGGTGGCCAAGGGCCTTGCGGCGCGGATTGCGAGGGACAATGCGCAGCATCCGCTCCCGAGGCCCTCGCCGAACAGGTCGCCTAGGGCGTTCATTCAAAGGAACTCGTTCTGGTACGATGAGGACGACCCGACGGCGCCGATTGATAACACGTTGGAGGAGTTTGAAGAGGACGACATCATGCCCCAGGCGCACGGGAAGCTGGACGAGATTCGCGAGTACAGACATTACCACCGCATCATGGCGTGGGAGATGCCGCTGCTGTCCAGTACGTTGCAATTATCTTTCCGTTGTTCTCTACCTTGAGCTCTTCCGAACAGCCCCCCCTTACTTCTTTCCCCCCTTTTTGGACAGAACGGACGATGTGCTGACTGCGGATTCAAACAGAGCTCGCCAAGCCTTTTGAGCCGCCCAAGGAGGACGAGGTGCTGCGCTTCCGATACACGTCGTACATGGGCGAGCACCACCCGGCGGAGAAGAAGGTGGTTGTGCAGTTCTCGCCGGCGGACCTGGGGCTCACCGACGTGCAGGCGGACAAGCTCCGCAAACTGGTCGGGGCGCGGTATAACCCGGAGACGGACGTGGTCAAGATGAGCTCGGAGAAGTACGAGCACCAGGCGCAGAACAAGCGGTACCTGTCCAACTTGGTGGACGACCTGATTACCAGTGCCAAGGTGAGCAATTCTTTTGTCATTCTCATATATATGGTCCCGATGAACCATGTGACCTGGTCACGTCATGAACAAAGCAGGAGAGGCTAATCGAGGAAACCCTCTGTCATTAGGACCCCAAGGACGACTTCAAGGACGTCCCTCTCGACACGCGGCACCACGTCTTCAAGAACAAGCCCAAGTTTCCCAAGGAGTGGCGCATGAACGAGGAGCGCCGCAGGGAGCTCGACGGATTCCGCATGCGGGCGCTCGAGATCGACGCCGGCAAGCTCGAGGAGGGACAGGTCGTCGACGGCACGGAGAAGATTGAGCAGTTCCTCGCGGCGCCGCCGCCCGAGACGGAGGGCAAGGTGGCCGAGATGGTGGCTGTTCGGGGCCGGGGCGGTAACAAGCAAAAGGGTCTCGGCCGTCGGTAAAGGGTAGATGGGGGGATTAAGTCCTTACTACTACTACTACTACTACTACCACTGCTCGGCTTGAGTGGCCGCAGACTCGGTCTTTCTTTCTGTCCAAGGTTTGATCTATCGGACTTGGTGGGAGGAAACGAGAAATCTTGTGTATGACTAGGCGGCGTGGTCCCGTTTATGGGACTTGAGCCTGCCCGTGTAACATCTCCATGTATACATCCGTGCCAGATCGGAATCATAGAAATTCAAAAACAACGGTGGCTTGCGTTAGAATGTTTGTGTCAGTGTTTTCTAATGGTGGCATGTCAAGGCGTTCATCAACTAGCTAGTGTTGACTTGAACGTGGCATGATGCGGCTGATTAGAAGAGCGACGAGAGGGCCCGAGGCGTCGTGTCAGATAGGTCGTGAACCATGGGTTGCTGTCAGCATCCTCCCGTTCTTTCATGTATGGTCGTCTGTATAAGTTTGACACATAAGCTCAGGAAAAGGTTGAGGGTTACAATCCCCCTTTTGGCTCGTCGATTTTTGTCTGATTAATAAACAACTTGGTCGTCAATGTCATTCAATTATGCATATTCCATTGAACAGCAAGTCCGGGATGGAACCCACCGCTTTCCGCGGCCATGTCCATTTTGCCCAATCGACTTTTGAAGAATAATGGATTTAAATCATTTTGAGTGCACCGACCGAAAAAAGGGGGAACTTGAGGAACTCAGGAAATAGACGCGCTATTCAGGGACAGGGATTACTTGCGTTTAGTCAGCCGCATTGATCGAGGTGTTGAGTGATGCCTCGGTAACTTTTTTCTTTCTTTTGGCTTGAGGTTGTGTTTACTCACCAATTTTATTTTTTTCCAGGCACACAACCGTGACAGCCTACAGGTCAGATCGTGCAGGTGCAAATGGGCAGGGGGTGGCGCCCTGTACCTATGTGGGGAAGAAACGGAGCAGCGGGATTGGCGAGCGGCGGCGCCGCCTTGGGGTATCTTTTTCTCGACCAAGTTAGGTGGTATGGGGCCTGGCCTGGCTAGAGCTCCCCAAGCTTTTGCCTCGGACTTTAGCTAAGGAAACCTCAAAGCTCAAGCATGCGGGCGTCAATCTGCTATCTAGCATGGACCCTGAGGATGGACGGTTCACCTGAAGCTGTTAGTCTCTTCAAAAGGCAGCTTGTTGTCTGCCTATACTAAGGTAGCTTGAGCATGGAACAAACTAGAGAAGAGCGAAAAGATTCGATTATGGCAATAGTCGACAAGCACCGATATTAATGGACAAGAGATGAAGCGGTTGGCAAATGGACCATAACGTAGTAGAAGTCCTAGGTTGGGACGGTGTCCCCGTCGCAGCCCGCTCCGTCGGGACATCTATGCCTCCATTCCCCGTCCGTCCTATTATGCAACGCCATTCGGTACGGATCAGTCGTAGCCCTCTCTCCAAAGGTATCTGCATCCCATAATATGAAGGGGAAACGGCATACCTTACTGAGCAGTGCTGCTGGGTGCCGTTCACATGTGTCTAGCGCACAGCACCGTTCCCGTAGCTTCCCTGCCTGCGCCCTCTTGGGGAAACGAGTTCGTTTCCAACGTGCAGTGCAGCGCATTCGCCTCCCCTTCCCCCTGCCTTCACTCACCAATGTTCACCTCCATTAGGTAGTCCCTTCCCCTCCATCTGCTCTCCCTCATTGCCGGACGGGTTACACAAGTACTACATCACCACTCGCACTCGCATCATACAAGTCCCGCCATCAGCCAATTCACCCGACACACTGCAGATAGTCCCTTTTCCGCGTCATCTACGGGATAACAGTATTGCTAGCAACGTCTCGGAAGCGAGGAATTGGCAATCACTAAACGATTCAGCATCTCCCAAATCCCTGGTATTAGTTTGCTTACCTTCTCACATTACCTCAAGGTACCTCACCAAGTAGGCCATCTCATGCGCCGAGGTTTCTAAGCCCGGCAGTCCCTACTCACATTAGACACTACTTTCCGTACCTATCCATCACACCCACGCGACACGGAGGCCGAGCACAGGTGGAGCTTTGTCGCATCCATCACTTTTTCCCTACCTTACAAGCTACCGACGCCCTCTGCATCTGCTTGGCTGCTGATATTTGCTACTCGGACTACATAAGTCGAAGCAACCCTTACAACTCTATCTCCCACCACCAACACCACCTCCTCTTATTTTCCGCGACCGCGAATCCCGACCATTGCCAACTTCCCCTCACGAACCTCTCCTCTCCCTAGGTCCGGTTCATCGCAACAAAGGAAGTCCAGGAAAGAAGCACCGCCCCTTACACTGAAGAAGCACACATCTCATCGCCATCAAAATGTCGCTCGCAACGGACATAAAGATCGCCGAGTTCACTCACACCTCAACCGACGACATCTACCGCCTCACAGACACCATCCGCGCTACCTTCCGCTCCAACAAGACCAAGGATCTCAAGTACCGTACCCTCCAGCTCCGTAAGCTCTACTGGGCCATCAAGGACTACTCCCCACAGCTCTGCGATGCCCTGCGCAAGGATCTGAGGAAGTGCAAGCACGAGGCCGTCCTCTCCGAGGTCGACTGGTGCGCCAATGACTGCCTCTACATGCTCAAGAACCTCAGCAAGTTCGCCGCCGAGGAGAAGTGCGAGGATGTGCCTCTCACCTACGCGCCCCTGAAGCCGCGCATCCGCAAGGAGCCTCTCGGCATGATTCTCGTCATTGGCGCCTTCAACTTCCCCGTCCAGTTGACCCTTCTTCCCATCATCGGTGCCATCGCCGCCGGCTGCACCGCCGTCTTGAAGCCCTCCGAGAGCGCCCCGGCTACCGCCATGGTCCTGACCAAGATCTTCGAAGTTGCTCTTGACCCCAAGGCCTACACCGTCATCAACGGTGCCGTCCAGGAGACCCAGGCGCTTCTTGACGTCAAGTGGGACAAGATCATGTACACGGGCAGCACTGCTGTCGGCAAGATCATCTCCAAGAAGGCTGCCGAGACCCTCACACCCGTCACCCTCGAATTGGGTGGCTTGAACCCGGCTTTCGTCACCAAGAACGCCAACGTTAAGCTCGCCGCTCGTCGTCTCATGTGGTCAAAGTGCCTCAACGCCGGCCAGGTCTGCATCTCTCAGAACTATATTTTGGCCGACCGCGCCATTGTCGAGCAACTCATCCAGGGTCTCAACGCTACTTACAAGGAGTTCTTCCCCAGCGGCGCCAAGAACAGCCCTGACTTCTCTCGTATTGTCAATAAGAAGTCTTTCCAGCGTATCAAGAAGATGATTGACGAGACAAACGGAAAGATCGTGATGGGCGGTGGCTTGGACGAGGACCAGCTCTACATTGAGCCTACCGCTGTGCTGGTTGATTCCATGCTCGACTCTGTCATGAAGGATGAGTCTTTCGGCCCAGTCTTTGCCATCATGCCGTACGATACCCTCGATGATGCAATCAACATTGCGAACCAGGTCTACAGGACGCCTTTGGCGCTCTTCACTTTTGGCAATGACCAGGAGAACCAGAGAAGTGAGCATGATCCACTATTTTCTAAGCAAAGGCTATATACTAACATTCTCAAAGTCCTCAATGAGGTGACCTCCGGTGGCGCCACCATCAACGACGCCTTCTTCCACGCCTCCATCTCGACTGTCCCCTTTGGCGGCGTCGGTGATTCAGGCACGGGCAACTACCGAGGCCGCGCGTCCTTTGACGCCTTCACCCACCGCCGCTCCGTCGCCCAGACTCCGTCGTGGCTGGAGAGATTCATCCGCGTTCGCTACATGCCTTACTCTCCCAAGGAGCTCGCCCGCCTCCAGGGCATGACAGCCGACAAGCCCGACTTTGACCGCAGCGGTCTTCAGGTCCGCGGGCTCGGGTACTGGGTCAAGTTCGTCATGGGGCTCGGCGCGAAAGGTGCTACAGGTGCGTTGTTGAGATGGGTCTTGGCCCTGGTAAGTATGTACACCCTAACCCAGCGAAGGCGTTCTTAGGACTTTGATCGGATGAAGTATGGGTTGCAAGAATGAGTTTCAAACACAAAAGAGCGTTTACCACACTCCACCTCGCTTGTTTCGTCTCTCTACCCAAACACACTTTCCCAGATGCGATTGTCACTTGTTTTTTCTACCAAAAAAACCACAACCTCACCATAACACATGCCATGCGCACCTTTTTCCTTTTGATCGTAAGTTTAGTCCCCTTCAGATATGACCTATCTTGGAGAGATACTGGGGGACATGAAAAACAAAAGTTTCGACTTGTTGGACACACTCGCTTGGAGTGAAGGGACTCGGGTTTCTGGGATGGACATAGGGGTGTTGGATTTGAGGGTCAGACGAGCCTTGATCTCATCGCCCCATTCCAGACGCGTTTTGTACGGTACTATGCTATATACCATTTTCCTATACGTTAGGCGATAGTAATGTGAAGAAGGCCAAACCAGCCTTTGACGTTCGTTACACTTGATGTGGCCTATGATGGGGATTTCATCCGATTGAATTGATACATGCACGGCAACCATGGAGACCATTGCATGATGCTTACTGTTCTTCCGATTTCTATGATGATATCCAAAAGGAAGAAGAGGGGAAAACCCCCCTTCAAACGGTAGGGAATCGAACCAGAGGCGAAGCGAGGGTTCAGGGCGATCAAGGAAGAATGCATTCCACTGGCGCCTCCTCAACCCCTCGACCACCTGCCCCTTACACTTCAAGTTATGACAGAAGGGAAGGAGAGGAGAACCAAGTGCCACCTTCCCCTTCCTCCCGCGTCGCTAGGGGGTGCTCACTAGCCGTGCCTGCCTCAACTTCTAAACCCACACTTTCATAGGTCTCCTTCCTTGGTCTAACAACTATTACGAGTCCGCGATACCCTGACAACACTTCCCCTGAATCACCTCGCAGTACCAACAGGAACACTCCACGACCTCCTCGCCAACTCAACAGGAACATTCATCTCCAACCTATCACCGTCATCATCTTTCATTACCACTGACGTCTTCGCGCGGTTTGGTTTGAGTGCAGGTGACGGGTCCGGGTTGAAGTACCCCGGCCTGGCGTCCGACCTCTCCCTCTTCCTTCTCCTCCTGCGCTGTCTCTGACTTCCTCCGAGGAAGGTTGAGGAGACGATGGAGGAGAGTGTGCTTGATCTGGAAAGACTGCGCGGCTGGGAGGGAACTCTGGTCTCATGTTTTTCCTTTCCGTTCGAGGATGCCGTCTCTAGAGTTGAAGACTTTCCAGGATCGTGGGCTTGAGTTTCTGTCGTTTGCTTTCTCTTGCCCTTGTCTCTGATATTGTGAAGAGCCAGCCCAGCGGGACTCTCACCACCATCCTCGCGAGGAAGCCCAACTCCACGACGTTGATTTCCCTGCTCAATCGGACCCTTCAAGTGCCTTGGCTCGCCGTCGTTAGCATTCGACACAGCAGCCAGCGCCGCGGACGCCGGGCCCCTATCCTTTTCGAGCCACCGAGCGTCCCGGTGCGCCTTGTAGGTTCTGAAGCCGGCTTGTGCCGTGGGGTCGCCGTCGACGAAGCGTTCGAGAAGAAGTTCGAGGCGGTCGCGGAGGCGGATGAAGATGCGGGCTGGGGTCGCTCGCGGTCGTGATTGTGGGTGGTGTGGTGTGGCGGGCATGGTATGAAGTTCAGTAGCGGCTTTGAAACCTCGAGTCCGAGAATGCTTTGATCTGCTCTCGAGGGTATGGTATTTGGTTGTGATTTCCAGACAGTGAAGGGGCGGAAGTGAGGTTCGGTGGTCCAGAGACGATTTTTGGCAAAACGGGATGCTGCTGAGGTGTCTTGTCCTCTGTGAAGCCTTGCTCTTTTCGATCTCGTCCACCGTTCCGCGAACCCCCTGAGCGAGAATTAAGAGGTATGTGAGATCCAAATCAAACGGCCCCGGCTGTACCACGCACAACCTGTTCATGTCCCACTTCCCCCGCGCGGAAACCAAAGTAGAATTTGACGATTCCACAAAGGAAACAAAAGAAGAGGCTTGCCGTTTTTCATTCTATGTGTGGTCTGGTTGGTAGTACAAAGATTTCCCACCATCCGCTCTCCTCCCGCCCTCCATTTCCGCGTCGTTATGTCGACATTGAGAGAGAGAGTCAAAAACCGCGCAAATCAGATACCCCTAAGCTGCGTATTATCCTGCTCGTCCATCTTGCGGTACCGCTCCGCCAGCACCTCCTTGACGCTCTTGGTCAACCCGCTCGGCTTCTCGTACCGCTGGTGCAGCGCCTTCTGCACCGGCGTCGTCGCGGGCGCGACCGCGCCGTCCGCCTTGACGCTGACTTTGTCCTCGGCCACGCCCACCGCCTGCTTGGCCGCTACGAGCACCGCCTCACCCTGCTGCCGTCCCTTGTCCACCACGTCGCCGACGACGGCCCTGACCTCGGCGGCCTTTGCGTCGATGGCCTTCTTGGCCTCGGCGGCTTTGGCGTCGAGAACCTTCTTCGCCTCGGCGGCCCTGAAGCGCGCGGCCTCCTCGGCAGCGAGGCTCTTTTCCCTCGCGCGCTCCCAGGCGCTGCGCGCCTCCTTCTTGATCTCCGCACCTCCTTGCTCCGCGACGGCGCCGCCTCGTGCCGCGGCCTCCTTGGCCAAGGGGACGGCCCTCTTCTCGACAGCCTGCTCCGCCTCGCCGGTCTTATCGATACTCCCGCCCCAGAACCGCGCGGCGCCGCTCTCGAGGCCCTCGCGCACCTCGCCCCAGTCGGTGCGCTGCGCCCAGCGGACGGCGTTCTCGACCTCGCGGTTCCAGCGGTCTTTGGCGGAGGAGAGGAGCGTCTCGCGGTCCTGGACGGCCTGTTCGGCGCGGGTTAGGGGCGGAGGGATGCGGATTTGGGGCTCGAGGAGGGAGGAGAGGACGTGGTGTTGGGTGCGGAGGGTGTGGGATTGGGTTTCGCGGTTGCGTTGGTGGGCGAGGACTGTGAGGTAGGCTACGCCTAGGGTTACGGTTACACCGCCGGTCTGTTTTATGGGATGTGGCTGTTAGCTATCCGATGTGCCAATTGTGTGATCAACTTCTCTGTCACTGGGAGCGGGAGTGAATCAGAGCGAGAGAGGAAGAGGGAGTGTAGCGTACGAAGCCAGTGGTGAAGCCCATGATGGCTGTTGATCCAGTCCAAATGCGACGGGGCGCAATTGCAGACCGGGATTTGATATTATAGTTCCTCTCCGTAGATTGTGTTTCGGTCTCAAGGTTTCATGATGCAATTGGAGCAAACACGGGTCGTAGGAGGTCGAATCGAGTTGGGGGTTCGCCTCACTTGTCACTGAATTGACCTCCGAGAAGCGGGACGGGACAGCTTCGGTGCGGAATGACGTTAATTAATCGGGCTTGCGAGCGAACGAGCGACTTTCAGCCTCCCCGGGTGGATTTCGGCGACGGGCAGGGGTCAAGGTACCTTTACCATCTGGCGGCAGGAACACTGAACTACAGCCCCCGCATAAATGTCCCCGCTAAGCCAACCAGAGGCCCCAAAGCACCCTGCGCCAAAAATTTGGGAGCCCGGGACTCAGACGACAGCCAGCGGGTTGCAGCGACTCCAAAGGCTATCAGCACGGCTTTTTTTGACGATCCAATTCGATTCGATACCCTCACTGCTCTGAAGTCTACCTACCGACCTGTTCACCGCACAGAGAAGCTAGCTCCGAACACAGGTCCCAAGACGAAGACCGAACGAAACGGGTTGCTCCCGCCAATCTCTCTTCCTCTCTCGATTGAGACGACTTCGACACATTCACAGCAGCCATGGCGGGAGGTCTCACCAAGTACAGGCATTTGAGCCGCAACTCGTCGGCGCGACAGGCCCTGCTCCGCGGCCTCGTCACCTCCCTCGTCGCCCACGAGCACATCCACACCACCTTCGCCAAGGCCAAGGAGGCCCAGCGCCTCGCCGAGAAGCTCATCACCTACGCGAAGCGTGACAACGAGGAGACGAGGCGGAAAGCTCAGGCGATTCTCTACGTGAGTTTGGACGCTCCCTGTGGCAAGTAGTAGCTTCTTCGAGATGGAAGCGGCTACTGGGTCCCCAACATGAGGAGAAGACAAGAAAGAGACTGACGAAAATACATTCTACTAGACACCCCACGACCTCCTCCCCAAGCTCTTCGGCGAGCTCCGCACACGCTACTCGGAGCGCCCGGGAGGCTACACGCGCGTGCTGCGCACCGAGCCCCGGAGCACCTACGACCAGGCGCCCTCTGCGATCCTCGAGCTCGTCGACGGGCCCCGCGACGTGCGCTTCATGATGACGGCCAAGGCCGTCGCCAACGACAAGGACAACGGCCACCGCAGCACCGACCTGACCAAGAAGAACGTCGCCAAGGTGACGAGGTACCGCCAGGACGGCAAGACGGCATTCGACGACATGGTAGCCAGCTTCAGGCTGCTCAGGGCCCGTTCGGACGAGAAGACGGCGAGGAAGGAGGAGTTGTTGGAGGGGGCCAAGGTTAAGGCCAAGGCCCCCAAGAAGGCGTAAGCCGAGGCCTTTTGCCTAGGTAGTTGATGCGTGAGGTTGCTCGCAGGAAAAGGGGGCGAGGAGACTGCCACAAGCAGAGAGGACGATGTGGTGTGGGAAAAAATGTGTAACTCATAAGAAAGGTGTATTATCAAGAAGGGGAATACCTGGCCAGTTTATAGATTACTGTCGTGTAGGGTATACATGTATACTACGGAAGCTCCAAAAAGGACAACTTTTTAACGTCTGCTATAACATGGCAGCAAAAACACATCTATCTTGCCTCCTTTTCCTTTTCCTTACACAAAATCAAAGGTATCGCCCTTCTCCTGGATCATCTTGCCCACGCGCTGCGTGCCAACCACACGCTCCAGCTTCATGACATCGTACTTTGAGAACATGACGCGCACGGTGCCCTGTCCGGGCTCCAGCCTCATGTCCTGCTCGCTGCGCGCGAGGTACTCGCCCGCAATCTCGCGGTAAAAGATTGGGTTGTCCGGCAGGCTGTACATTATGACGCGCTGGACGCCGCGGATCTGCGTGCGCCGGAAGTGGTGCGCTCGCTCCGTGTACAGGAGCACCTTGTGCCGGCCGTTCAAAAAGTGGGAGCGGGCGCGCGAGGCCTCGGGGACGTCGGCGTACTCGGAAATCGTGCCAAATGAAAGGGCGGCGACGGCCGGGTTGGCGGAGAAGTAGTTGCGCACGCGCACGAAGTCGAGGTACGAGGGGATGAAGATGAGGGTGCCCGAGGTCTCCCTTGCGCGCTTGATGAGGGAGGGGAGGATGGCCGAGACAAAGTAGTCGAAGCGCGCGTCGGGCTCCTTTTCGAGGGAGCGGCACTCGAAGCGGGAAAAGGTCTGGCGGGCCTTGAGGCCGAGCTGCGTGAGGACGCCCGGGTAGTCGGCTTGGAAGCGGACCTTGCCGGCCCAGTTGTGGCACTGCGTGCGGAAGAGCTCGGTGAGCTCAGGCGTGTTGAAGCCGGAAAGGACAATGGTCTGGCGGAAGTACTTCGCCTGGTCGTCGAGGTACCAGCTGCGCACGCGGCCAAAGTCGCAGCCGTGGGCGTCCTTTGGCTGGAGGTTCATGTGCTCGAAAATGTACTCGACGTGCTCCCAGTTCTGCATGAGCTGGGCGTCGGCCTGGTCGACGACGACCATCTCGATGGAGCTGAGGAAGTCGTAGTCCATCTTCTTCTTGTCCTCGTCGGAGCCAATGGCCATGCGCAGGCCCAGGGGACTGGCGAGGAGGATGTCCGAGTTGTAGAATTGCGAAAAGTACTTGACCGTCTTGCGCGTGAACTTCATGCCGATTCGGAACATGTCGTCGTCGTTGCCCTCAAAGAGTTCGCGGAAGTCGGAGGGCTTGTCATCTCCGAACTTGGCGTCCTCGTCGGTGTACGCATCGTCGAACCGCTTCCTGTTTTCCCGCTGGTCCGGCGCGCAGATATCCTCGATTGTGTTTACAATCTTCAGGCAGGACTGTCTTGTTGGCAGCAGGAATAGGATCTTGGGACGCGTGAAGCCCTGGTCTCTGAGCTCGAGATCGGCATTCTCTTCCCTTGAGAGTTTGTAGTTATTCTTGATGACTCTGTCTCGGGTCCTGTTTGTATGTGAGCATTTGAGCATTCCTAAGGCAAGTAATGTCAAGTATCCTTACTTGAAGACGTGGTTAACGGCATGTAGGCACACAAGCTGCCGTAAACCGTTGGAGTTTTGGGTGTTTCGGTTGTCGTACAGCACATCGTTGTAGTTGAATATCGTCGGGGCAATGGCTCGTTGCAGCGTGTCGAGCGAGCTCATCTTCTTCGAGGCCGTCTCCCGCAACTTTTGCTTGAGCTTAAGGCTGTCCAAGCCAGAAATCGGCGAGGGGATCGTCGGGGCGTCTGATCCCTCTACTTGAGGGTATGTCACCACAGCTTTCGAAACCTTGGACATTGTCCGCTTGATAGCCCATTCGTTTTTCTGAATCGCCTTGACTCTCTTCGCCGTTACACCTTCGTCAGGAGTAGTGAAGTGGCTGTCAAACGGATCTGTGGCATCGACATCGTCTTCGTCATCGCTCTGCTCCGCTTCCTCCTCCAGATCAGCCATTGGGTCTTCAGCCTCTTCGACCCTGTCGACGTCCTTGTCTTCCGGCTCCTCCTCGGACTCGTCGCCATCAGATCCAGACTCGGATCCAGACTCCCCAGACTCAGACTCGGACTCGGACTCAGCCTCGGCAGTGGTTTCTGGCTTGCCACTTTCGAGCTTCCGTCTTTTAGCACTTGGCTCTGAAGACTCCTTGAATCCTTGAAGAAGCGCCATGTAAGGCCGTGTGTTCTGGGGCTGCTCGTCTTCTTCCTCCTCCTCATCAGACATGGAGACGTCAGAGTCCTCCCCCACTTCAGATTCTCCCTCTTCCTGAGATTCATCATCTGAAGACCTGACGATGTTAGATCTTCACAAACTTTTACACAATTTTCGGAAAGGTCAAACGTACTCTTTTTCTTCCAGGCGCACAGTATCGAACCTTCTGCCCCCTCTTCCTCTGCCTCTGCCTCTTGCGCCTCCTCTTCCTCTTGCACCTCCTCTGCCACCTCCCCTACCACCACCACGAGCACCGCCTCTGCTTCCTCCCCGGAATCCGGCCCGACCTCTACCTCTGGGACCCATTATATCTTACTTTGATTACTGATGAATCTGAGTAAGACCGGACAGCAAGAAATGAGATTTCAAAGGACTAGGTGAAAAAAAGAACGTTCACGGAAGCAAAAACTCATTCACTTTGTCGCCGAAAAAAAGTTGTAAGTCGGCGATATCAGCCTTGCAGAAAATCCCACACTAGTCACCAGCCACAGCGGGGCACAATCTGCCACAAAGACCGTTATCGTGTCTTATCTTAGCGCGCACAACCCGGTAGGGGCCAACCACAAATCGCAAAATCGGCAAACTGCCCACTAGGAGAAAGCGAAAGAGTTCGACGATTTTTTGAAGCGACCTATCGCGAAAAAACGCTCCGACCAAAGACCCCAAACCCACTCTTCATTTTTTGGCCCGCGCATCACCACCAACCCGAAACCCGCCCTCCCCCTCCCCTCCTCTTCTCGATATCTCCTCCTCAACCGCAGGTCTCCCCCCTCGAAAAGAACCTCGACGACCGAGATCCAACCTGCCCAGCATGGCTGTCGCCGAAACTGAGAAGTTCCTCCACCTCTCGCGGCCCATCGCGCCGGCCACGATTGGCATCCCAGGCAACATTGCCCCGCTCACCGTCAACATCCAACCCCAGGTACGACACCTCTTGCTACGCTGCAGGACCTGATATCATTACCCGAGACATGTCATGGACCTTTGCAAAGTCATGATATATATACGCACATCCATCATCAATACAGCCTCTCCCCCCCGTGGGGATCACCAACTACTAGTTGCTAACCCCACCTCCTCTCCTTCCAGGCCATCCTCTCCATTCTCGACCATGCCGTGCGAAGAGACATCCGCGATACGCAATCAACCCGCGTTATCGGCGCCCTCGTTGGTGTCCGCTCCGAAGATGGCACCGAGGTCGAAGTGCGCTCCTGCTTCGCCATCCCCCACACCGAGAACGAGGACCAGGTTGAGGTGGACGTCGACTACCAGAAGAACATGCTCGCCCTCACCCTCAA